ATGTTAGTGCTTTCTTCGGCCAAGGGCGTCACAACGAGAGCAGGTGTGTGTCATGTTGATCACAGAGTAAAAGAGATTCGATTCACCACACAGCAGGTGTTGTATTTTCTGATTGGCTTAAAATTTTACTTTTGAATTAAAATAAATAGATCCAAAAATATTTAAATTTCCGTTCGACGTTAGATAATATAAAATGGCTGTGAATGTAATAGTCACAGTAACTGCTGTTTTACAAGCAGTAAAAATGTGAAAGGCAACTAGTAAGAGTAAAGCAGGTGTTTCTGGAAAGAGCCTTGTATTCAATGCAAATGATTATGAGACAAACTCTATTATTATAATAGGACAACAGTTCATACGTGGCCTAGAGTCAACATATATTAGTATATTTTTTCCTTACAGAATCTGAAACCTTGTTGCGAAAACAAATTCTCGTGCTGAACGACAATCTAACTTGTTTTACAGGATTAAAGGCTGAGGGGAAAAATTTTCTAAATTTAGTGATTTACAGCGATGTTATTATCGCTGCTTTACCAAAATATGTCAATAAGACCTTTACAAATCCAATCTGAAAACAGCTAGAAAACATTGTTATTGCGATTTTGAGTAATCTGAACCCTCACTCAGTGGCTACGTCCGAAACTGACCTGCGCGAGTTTCAGACATTATGCTCAAGTGCCTCTGATCGGCCATCCTGTTAATACCAGTAACGAAGACGAATGCCCGTAAAAATCTTTTAGACATGCAGAGGCATACTCGGAGTAATGGTAGTTGTCTAAAGAATAAGCTATTTTTGGCCAGTTTATTTTCTTTCTTGAAAAATAGCTCGCTTGTTTACCCATGAATAAAATGGACTTAACCCTTTAATTAGTCACCCCAACGGTGACTGATGTAATATTGTTAGGTGATTTCAACCCTTGAGTCTGTGGCTGGAATTCTATTAATTTTGTAACCAATTAAATGAGATCTTAAATCGCTTCATGTAAGGTAATCCTGATTCAGGAATCCTGCAAATCCATAATTAGAAATCCTTGGCTTTGGAAATCCCGCTAACGATTGGAATCCGGAATTCAAGTTTCACTGACAATGCATGAATCGGAATTCCAGTACTGGAATCTGGAATCCAGAATCCTATGGATCTTATCCTATTCTATTCTATTCTATGCTATCCTATCCCATTCTATGCCATGGATTTCCGGCTTACATTGGGCGGTAGTATGGTAGTATGAAGCAGTCTTTCCGAAACTCTCTCTTTTGCAGCATCTTGAGTCATTTTCATTTTGGCCACCTCTGGTAATGAAAGGATTAACCTTGGAAAGTATTAAGAGTGATTTTTGTAAGTCAGACGGGTAAACAAAATAATGGAAAATTTCTTTTATATTTAACGCAAATATATGTTTGTGTCTATTTACTATAGTTAACAGCATTTACAGTTTTTACAACGTATTTAAACCCGTGACCCCTCAAAACTCTCTACCAAGTTGTATCAACCCAAGGCTTACATTATGTTATCGGGATTTTAAGTTATTAATCCAGGTGGACGAATAATTATCAAATGGTAAACGGCCCAGCAGCCTGTATTGCTATTGTGTGTTATTACAGGACGGAGGTTGCTTGGCAGGAAATCGAGGAGGCGTAATTAGAGTCGTACGAGGGGAAAACCGAATGCAACTCTAGCTTTAACTTGAGTTACAACCAGCAATCAGCACGTTCTTGCTTTCGTCAAAATTTGGTCACCCATGGGCAAAATAAAATAAAATGATTGACCACGTAGAAACTATAACTCGATGAGCGGCCGTATAGCATATTGCTGCTCCCCATAAGTCACCTTTAAAATGGTATAGAGAATGCTCAATCGACCTCAGTGTCAAGCTTTTGTTGCCAAATTAAAAGCTCAATGATGAGGGTCCGGTAATCCTCTTTTTAAGGTCCACAGTATCTTCCATTCCGGTTCTAATTTGTCACGTAGATGGACCACTGAGCAGGTAGCTCGGTTACTGGGTTGACATATCCGTTTGATTGTGTCAAACGACTTTCCTGGTGGGCACGCCACGTGCGTTGTGACACCGTGCGAGCACGCTATGTATGCTTTGCAGGAAGACGGGTCTTGGTAATCACCGTTTGCTTTTCCACCGCAGAACAAGGCTTCTTTGACTATACATGGAAGGATTGTGAGAGGTCAATATGGTTTGCTATCTAGCAAAGAATCTAAATTTTAAACCCTTCCTGCTTTCAACTCATTTTCTCATTTTATGCTTCAATGTCGGTGTGTGGTTCAAAGTAGGGAGTTTGGACGAAGCCATTTCAAACAAAAGAAACTAATTAAATAAAGGCTGTTTTTTTGCAGCTCTGCCTTAAGTCTTAAACAGGAACAAGAGATGCCTACTGCTAAGTATGCGTTATTTTAACTAAAAGAGGCAGTAATTCGGTAAAGGCAGGAAGTTGTGACAGGGTCTAAGGAGGTGTAAGGGCCACTTCACCATGCTGCCTCCCTAACCTTCGCTGTCTTTCTAGATTACCTAAGATTAACTAGGGTAATCTGGGGCATTAAAGGGGCCGTGTCACGAAATTCAGCCAAATTAGGAAATTATTAAATGCCTGTTAAATTAAGAGGAACAAAAATGACCGCTTAAAACTTTAAAGGAAGGTTAAAATAACATAACAGAAACAACAGACGCCACGGATGGGCAAAATTGAAGAAGATTGAAACAGATTGAAATTGGGGTTTTTGAAAACTGTTCAGCCTAACAGTTTTTCAAAGTTGATCCCTACTGCTTGCCCTTCAAAAATAATGCTCAGGAGACATATTTGTTTGTCTCGGATCTCTGATTTTGTCATTTACATGTAATTTCTTTGCTTATTTTAAGTTCCATAGCGATTGAAGGCGAGTAATTGACAAAATTAAACAAAATGAACTGGACTGCCGTGACACAGCCCCTTTAATTAGGCTTTTTAATGGGAATATGCAAAACTAAGACGTGTAAATGCAGGAAATGGCATGAAAAACCATGAGGCTTCTGGGTATAAAACTCCCCAGTTGGCCTAGACATAAAGGTTACGGCTTGTTTGTGCTTCAGGCATATAAACTCTTACCAGGCACATTACAGCTCCAAGGACAATTATTCACCATCCAAATCCAATTTGATTTCTTGCAGTGATTCATCTTTGCCCAAGCTGGGCATTCTTGACGTCTGTCATAAACTATGAAAGACATCGTGGAAAGCAAAATTAGAATAAAACTGAGAATGAGAATGAGAATGATAATACTTATTTTCATGGAAGACCATCATAATGATAATGACAACATTAAGTGGATTGCACAACCCAAACCAATCAAAGCTGCTGGTAGAGACGTAAAGAAAACAAATCAGTGACTCGAATTTACGGGCTTGAAGCGGAATCAGAAAGTTTTGTCATTGCAGTACAAAATCAAAGCGTCGCCACTAGTTTTTAAAGCCACCACCGACATTATTAAAGATGAGGCATATCTCCACTTAATACGTACTTTTTTCATACGATGAATCTATGGACCACCTAGTCTCGTGCACTGCCTTGAGCTTGCCAAGACAGAGTGTATCCAAGAGGAAAGCATGGCAGCAACCTCTTCCTTCATTATGCAACGAATACGAAATAAATGGAGCAGACAGCTGGTATATAACCATTAAAATACCAAGTTGTGGAATTAAAAGGAAGAAGCCATCATGGCACATGCATGCCCATCTATACAGTGTCATGTCAGGCAACTGGCCAAATATCGTTGCCAAGAGCAATAGAGTTAATCCAACTGGGTTTGTTCCTCCAAAACTACACTTTAATGTTAAGTATATTTGCGTTTCTCTCAGTCATTATCTTACTGCCCATTTGTGCTTAGCCGTGCACACATTTCCACTATTAGATATACAGCTGAAATGTATGTTTTCTAAGTCGTTGTCGCAACAGCTCGTACCTTTGCACCTTCCACAGCTTTCTCTACAGTTCCTGTTCATCCAGATCATCCTATCACCTGCAGTGCACTGCCCAAGTATAGCCCAGGAAGGACATTTCAAATCCTTGTCCTTGCATTCTTGAATTACAGATCAAGAAAAATCCATAATTACTCTCAGGTTGAATATAATTACAAGTATACCATAAAAAAGATCAGGGGACGAACAACAACGGCAATGGTAAGATGACCTTACCTGCCCGCAAATGCAGCCGCCTTTCTATCGCTGGAACGTTCGCGCCCCGAAAACGATAAGAGGCAGCCTAAGCTATCTGGCACTTTAGGCATTGTTTGATTTCTCGTTACTATACAAAATCCAGATGGAAACGTCTCGAATTAGGCGTGTGATCTTTACAAAAAAACGCTGAAATATAAAGGACTGTGAAGTCTTGGGAATATTGATTTCTTTCCTCCATTCTACTGGATTTACGAACAGCAACGCGTGTCTTACAAACGTCCTCATCAAGGATAAAACGGACAGAACAACCTTATAGTGACAGTACAACTTTTGACGGACCGATTAAGAAATTTTAGCGCATTAGGCTACATATAAGCTGCTAATTTGAATTCGGTCTTTGACGAATCATTACTTAAGTCTTAGTAAAGAAACCGCCTGAGTAACAACGATCCGACCTGCACTGATCTTGATAATCACATTCGAGCCCATCTAGTTACATTAGATTTACCATTAAGTTGCTTTCAATTAGACATGCTTAGGAACGCGTACTACAACTGTGATGGCTCCTACCTCCACATTGGTTACAGCTCATCCTACAATTGGGTAACATCCATATTCTGTTTGTTTCACAATCCCCTTCGTAGGCCCAGAGAGGGCATTCTGGAGATGAATCTTTGCACTCTATACCGAGAAGCAGAACACCTTTGTTCGTTAGCCTTTTTTTTTAATATATAAAGAAACACAAACATACATTTATTTATTTTGTAATTCAGGTAAACAAAGCTTACACTAATCAGTGTAGATGAATCTTTGCACTCTATGCCGAGAAGCAGAACACCTGAGTTTGTTTGTTTGTTTTTTTTTTTTTGAGATATATAAAGAAACACAAACATACATTTATTTATTTTATAATTAAGGTAAACGAAGCTTACACCAATCAGTTTACATCCAGTGATCAATAAAAACAGTATTCAATGCCTCGCTTCGTCATTTCAGGACGTCTCTTCAAATTCTTAGTAAAGAGTTTATAAATTATTTACCTTTCGGTGCCTGATGATATTTACAGCTGACACAGCAGTTTAGTAACATCCACACCGTGTTTTTCTCGCAATCTCCAACAGCTGCCCACGACTCGCAACTCGGATTACGGTCGGATGTACAAGCTGAAAATATGAAAAAGTCCTTTAATTAAGCGTTATTTTTAATGTTCGGTTTCTGATAAGACTGGTTCTCAGGTCTTGAATCACAATTACAATAAAAATCAGATGGACTAAAGAGTGAAGGGAATGATATGGAGGGGTCAGAGAATGGAAGTTCAAGTGATACAACAAACAACCCACAAACCCCACTGAGTGTTGAAGCCGTAGTAATGGCAATTGCAGGAGACCATACAAGTCATTCTTTTGACCTCGATGGGATTCGAACCCACGGCCTCCTAGGCTACTAGGCCTGGTGCCAGAAGAGCAAGTCGAAAGTGGGTGGTCGCCACTCACGGCAAGGTAAACAGGTAAAGAGTACTTTTAATTAACATATGATGTTTTTCCGCGTATTGTTAAACAAATGACGGAATAGCGAATCAATAAATACAAATAACTAAAAAACCCCACTAGGCGTCAGAGCCCTTAAGCAAAGGGAATAAAGTGACCACCGATGGTACAGAAAAAATCCTTTGACCTCGTAAAGATTTGAACCCACGACATTCACATCAGTATCGGCTTTTAAACACAAAACGTACAGATTTTTTTGTTTCAACAACTGAAGTGATTAGTCAATTTACAACCGTAAGAAGATTCACAAGCTGACGTTTCGAAGTGCTAGTTAGGCCATCGATCTTAGAATCAATGATTCGCGCTGATAACGCGGCTTGCGCTCAAAACGTCAACTTTGGACTTTTTTGGCTGTAGTTAATTAATCAATGGACCATTTCAGAGTTGTCTAAAGCCAAGAAAGAATGATCTAAGCCTCTGTTTCAAAGCTAGGCTAGGTACAAAGCCGTTGACACGAAAATCATTTTTTAATTATCATACAAATAAAACTCATCCTCACAAGAAAGGGAGAGTTTCTTGAACTCGGAAATTCAAATTCAGTTGTTAAATGAGTTTTTACAAAGCATCGAAAGATCGTTTTCACGTAACATCACGGCGGCCATACTGGTCTACAGAACAATGAAACGGGGGTCATGTTGCTGTACCGAGAAAATCCTGTGTGGATGGAACTAAAATTAATTGAATGTAAGGTATGTGAGTATATAAGACAAATGACTCAAAACCATAGCCACTGTCACTGTCAAATCTCAGATTCCATTAGGACAGTAAAAACAGAACAACACTTAAGATTATGAATAAATACAGATAGAATTCTCAAAGAATGACGACACTTTTTAAGCTATTCATACGTCAACCTCGTTCCCAGAGAGAACCCTGGGAACAAGACTTGCGCTGTTCATACGTTCTAACCTTGTGACGCAGGTCCTGTCGTCCCAATATTTGGCACTGGTCTTACTGCAGGAGCTGCAGTTGCTGGGTTAACCATTGACATACGGATCAATTATAAGAACAAATTATTTAGAAACACATTGTTATTAATGACTGATGAGGATGGCTGGAAGCTAAATCAGACACCGCTTTATCATTTCTATTTGTTCTTGTCATTACACCGAGTTTGAACAGTCTGGCAGATATGCATCATAAATTTTAAAAAGACCTCGATAACCCCCCCCCCCCCCGCCCCCACCCACACACACACACACACACACACACCTTCTCCCCAAATCAAAAGTGAAATCGACAACCCAAACAGATTTTAATAAGCTTCACTAATTAATCAGGAGTACTTGCCTGTTTGAGGTGCATTAGGAGCAGAAGTGGTTACAGGAGCTACCGTGGTGGTGTATTTACCACTGCCATCATCTAAAGTTGGATACATAAAATGAAATTTTGAGTGCTGATAGACACTAGGGAGCACCTTGTTAACCATAAACACGATTAACTAAATATAACGTATTGATCTCAGTCTGCAGGGGAAGCCTGGAACCAGGTTCCTTCCTTTAGGAGAAAAGGGAATAACTGGGCCGAGTAAAAGCGAAGCGAGGCAAGCGGGATCTGGGCAGGGGGAAAGGGTGGCGGATCCCCCAGCGCCCGCTTCAGTCCCCCGCTATGTTCACCTTATCCCTCACCAAGCTGATCCAGGCAGGGAGGGGCCAGACTGTGCAAGGGGTCCAAATTCAACTTTAACATTTATTTTCAGAGATTTGTTGCGCCTAATTAGGCTCAACGTCGTTACAGAGGGGGTATAGAAATAGTTTTTCAAAAAGGCACTTAAAAAATACTATCTTGCTAAACATTGACTTGTGTGCGTGTGTGTGTGCGTGCGTGCATGTTTGTGTTTTAATGAATAACAAAGCTATAATAGAATAAAGTCAATCTTGTTAAAGGGCCATAATTAGTTTTGCTATAATGTGCCCTTCTCAATTATAATTTTTTTTCTTAGGTACACGTAGTTTAAACAACCTTGTACTAATTAATATTGTACAACTAATGTATTATCTGTAGGATGGAGTAAAAATAAAATACAAAAAATACAAAAAAAGATACACCTATCAATTTCCCGAAATTTGCCTCCCATATTTACTGTAAATTTGAGCGGTCACCGTTTGGATTTCCCAAATGGCTTATTTTATTTTAAACGGTCACTTTGTTACATCACTACTTTAGGGAGTGCATCCCTCAGAACATCCATATTTCGCGTCACTGTTGTTGTGATTAATAAATTGTAAATAGAGTAATCAATTTTGCCCTCTTGGTCAATTTCTGCCACCATGATCAATGGTCAGCCTCCATTAAGCGGTCAGTCCATAAGTCACCTTTAAAATGGTATAGAGAATGCTCAATCGACCTCAGTGTCAAGCTTTTGTTGCCAAATTAAAAGCTCAATGATGAGGGTCCGGTAATCCTCTTTTTAAGGTCCACAGTATCTTCCATTCCGGTTCTAATTTGTCACGTAGATGGACCACTGAGCAGGTAGCTCGGTTACTGGGTTGACATATCCGTTTGATTGTGTCAAACGACTTTCCTGGTGGGCACGCCACGTGCGTTGTGACACCGTGCGAGCACGCTATGTATGCTTTGCAGGAAGACGGGTCTTGGTAATCACCGTTTGCTTTTCCACCGCAGAACAAGGCTTCTTTGACTATACATGGAAGGATTGTGAGAGGTCAATATGGTTTGCTATCTAGCAAAGAATCTAAATTTTAAACCCTTCCTGCTTTCAACTCATTTTCTCATTTTATGCTTCAATGTCGGTGTGTGGTTCAAAGTAGGGAGTTTGGACGAAGCCATTTCAAACAAAAGAAACTAATTAAATAAAGGCTGTTTTTTTGCAGCTCTGCCTTAAGTCTTAAACAGGAACAAGAGATGCCTACTGCTAAGTATGCGTTATTTTAACTAAAAGAGGCAGTAATTCGGTAAAGGCAGGAAGTTGTGACAGGGTCTAAGGAGGTGTAAGGGCCACTTCACCATGCTGCCTCCCTAACCTTCGCTGTCTTTCTAGATTACCTAAGATTAACTAGGGTAATCTGGGGCATTAAAGGGGCCGTGTCACGAAATTCAGCCAAATTAGGAAATTATTAAATGCCTGTTAAATTAAGAGGAACAAAAATGACCGCTTAAAACTTTAAAGGAAGGTTAAAATAACATAACAGAAACAACAGACGCCACGGATGGGCAAAATTGAAGAAGATTGAAACAGATTGAAATTGGGGTTTTTGAAAACTGTTCAGCCTAACAGTTTTTCAAAGTTGATCCCTACTGCTTGCCCTTCAAAAATAATGCTCAGGAGACATATTTGTTTGTCTCGGATCTCTGATTTTGTCATTTACATGTAATTTCTTTGCTTATTTTAAGTTCCATAGCGATTGAAGGCGAGTAATTGACAAAATTAAACAAAATGAACTGGACTGCCGTGACACAGCCCCTTTAATTAGGCTTTTTAATGGGAATATGCAAAACTAAGACGTGTAAATGCAGGAAATGGCATGAAAAACCATGAGGCTTCTGGGTATAAAACTCCCCAGTTGGCCTAGACATAAAGGTTACGGCTTGTTTGTGCTTCAGGCATATAAACTCTTACCAGGCACATTACAGCTCCAAGGACAATTATTCACCATCCAAATCCAATTTGATTTCTTGCAGTGATTCATCTTTGCCCAAGCTGGGCATTCTTGACGTCTGTCATAAACTATGAAAGACATCGTGGAAAGCAAAATTAGAATAAAACTGAGAATGAGAATGAGAATGATAATACTTATTTTCATGGAAGACCATCATAATGATAATGACAACATTAAGTGGATTGCACAACCCAAACCAATCAAAGCTGCTGGTAGAGACGTAAAGAAAACAAATCAGTGACTCGAATTTACGGGCTTGAAGCGGAATCAGAAAGTTTTGTCATTGCAGTACAAAATCAAAGCGTCGCCACTAGTTTTTAAAGCCACCACCGACATTATTAAAGATGAGGCATATCTCCACTTAATACGTACTTTTTTCATACGATGAATCTATGGACCACCTAGTCTCGTGCACTGCCTTGAGCTTGCCAAGACAGAGTGTATCCAAGAGGAAAGCATGGCAGCAACCTCTTCATTCATTGTGCAACGAATACGAAATAAATGGAGCAGACAGCTGGTATATAACCATTAAAATACCAAGTTGTGGAATTAAAAGGAAGAAGCCATCATGGCACATGCATGCCCATCTATACAGTGTCATGTCAGGCAACTAGCCAAATATCGTTGCCAAGAGCAATAGAGTTAATCCAACTGGGTTTGTTCCTCCAAAACTTTTTAATGTTAAGTATATTTGCGTTTCTCTCAGTCATTATCTTATTGCCCATTTGTGCTTAGCCGTGCACACATTTCCACAATTAGATATACAGCTGAAATGTACGTTTCCTAAGTCGTTGTCGCAACAGCTCTTACCTTTGCACCGTCCACAGCTTTCTCTACAATTCCTGTTCATCCAGATCATCCTATCACCTGCAGTGCACTGCCCAAGTATAGCCCAGGAAGGACATTTCAAATCCTTGTCCTTGCATTCTTGAATTACAGGTCAAGAAAAATCCATACTTACTCTCAGGTTGAATATAATTACACAAAAAGGATCAGGAGACGAACAACAACGGCAATGGTTACCTGCCCGCGCGCAAATGCAGCCGCCTTTCTATCGCTGGAACGTTCTTGCCCCGAAAACGATAACAGGCAGCCTAAGCTATCGACCACTTCAGGCATTATTTGATTTCTCGTTAACTATACAAAATCCAGATGGAAACGTCTCGAATTAGGCGGGTGATCTTCACAAAAAAACGCTGAAATATAAAGGACTGTGAAGAGTCTTGGGAATTTGATTTCTTTCCCCCATTCTACTGCATTTATGAACAGCAACGCGTGTCTTACAAACGTCCTCATCAAGGATAAAAAGGACAGAACAATCTTGGAATGACAGTACAACCTTTAACGGACCGATTAAGAAATTTTAGCTCATTAGGCTACGTATAAGCTACTAATTTGAATTCGCTCTTTGACGAATCATCACTGAAGTCTTAGTAAAGAAACCTGAGTAACAGCGAACCGACCTGCACTCGCATCTTGATAATCACATTAGAACCCATCCAGTCACTGATTAGATTTACCATTAAGTTGCTTTCAATTAGACATGCTTAGGAACGAGTACTACAACTGTGATTGCTCCTACCTCCACATTGGTTACAGCTCATCCTACAATTAGGTAACATCCATATTCTGTTTGTTTCACAATCCCCTTCGTAGGCCCAGAGAGGGCATTCTGGAGATGAATCTTTGCACTCTATGCCGAGAAGCAGAACACCTTTGTTTGTTAGTCTTTTTTTTTTTTAGATATATAAAGAAACACAAACATATATTTATTTATTTTGTAATTCAGGTAAACGCAGCTTACACTAAACAGTGTAGATGAATCTTTGCACTCTATGCCGAGAAGCAGAACACCTTGGTCTTTTTTTTTTTTTGAGATATATAAAGAAACACAAACATACATTTATTTATTTTATAATTAAGGTAAGCGAAGCTTACACCAATCAGTTTACATCAAGTGATCAATAAAAACAGTATTCAATGCCCCGCTTCCTCATTTCAGGACGTTTCTTCAAATTTTTAGTAAAGAGTTTATAAATTATTTACCCTTCGGTGCCTGATGATATTTACAGCTGACACAGCAGTTCAGTAACATCCACACCGTGTTTTTCTCGCAATCTCCAACAGCTGCCCACGACTCGCAACTCGGATTACGGTCGGATGTACAAGCTGAAAATATGAAAAAGCCCTTTAATTAAGCATTATTTTTAAAGTTCGGTTTCTGATAAGACTGGTTCACAGGTCTTGAATCATAATTACAATAAAAATCAGATGAACTATAGAGTGAAGGGAATGATATGGAGCAGTCAGAGAATGGAAATTCAAGTGATACAAGAAATAACCCACAAACCCCACTGAGTGTTGAAGCCGTAGTAATGGCAATTGCAGGAGACCACACAAATCATTCTTTTGATCTCGATGGTATTCTAACCCACGGCCTCCTAGGCTACTAGGCCTGATGCCAGAAGAGCGAGTCGAGGGTGGGTGGTCGTCACTCACGGCGAGGTAAAAAGGTAAAGAGTACTTTAACATATGATGTTGTGCCGCGTATTGTTAAACAAATGACGGAATAGCGAATCAATTTTTTGATGAATATTCAAGGACTACAAATAACTAAAAAACCTACTGGGCGTCAGAGCCCTTAAGTAAAGGGAATAAAGTGACTGACCACCGATGGTACAGAAAAAATCCTTTGACCTCGTAAAGATTTGAACCCACGACATTCACATCAGTTTCGGCTTTAAACACAAAACGTACAGATTTTTTTTAACAACTGAATTGATTAGTCAATTTACAACCGTAAAAAGATTCACAAGCTGACGTTTCGAAGGGCTATCGGTTAGGCCATCAATCTCAGAATCAATGATTCGCGCTGATAACGCGGATTGCGCTCAAAACGTCAACTTTGGAACTTTCTGGCAATGGTTAATTAACTAATCAATGGACCATTTCGGAGTTGCCCAAAGCCTCTGTTTCAAAGCTAGGCTAGGTGCAAAGCCGTTGTCACGAAAATGATTTTTTAATTATCATGCAAATAAAACTCATCTTCACAAGAAAGGTTTTATACTTAGTTAGCCTCGTTTTGAAAGTGAGAGTTTCTTGAACTCGGAAATTCAAATTCAGTTGTTAAAATGAGTTTTTACAAAGCATCGAAAGATCGTTTTCACCCGACATCACGGCGGCCATACTAGTCTACAGAACAATGAAACGGGGGTCATGTTGCTGTACCGAGAAAATCCTGTGTGGATGGAATTATTTTTTCATGGAAAAGCTTTATTTTTTTCCTATAAATTTGTATAGTAAGGCTGTTGCTGACCACATGAGTGAAAACAAACTTAGAGCACAGGAACTAAAAATAATTGAATGTAAGGTATGTGAGTATATAAGTCAAATGATTCAAAACCAGAGCCACTGTCACTGTCAAATCTCGGATTCCATTAGGACAGTACAAACAGAACAACACTTAAGATTGTGAATAAATACAGATAGAACGCTCAAAGAATGACCACACTATTCATACGACAACCTCGTTCCCAGAGAGAACTCTAGGAACAAGGCTTGCGCTGTTCATACGTTCTAACCTTGTGACGCAGGTCCTGTCGTCCCAATATTTGGCACTGGTCTTACTGCAGGAGCTGCAGTTGCTGGGTTAACCATTGACATACGGATCAATTATAAGAACAAATTATTTAGAAACACATTGTTAATGACTAATGAGGATGGCTGGAAGCTAAATCAGACACCGCTTTATCATTTCTGTTTGTTCTTGTCATTACACCGAGTTTGAACAGTCTGGCAGATATCCAAAAAAAATTTTAAAAAGCCCCCCAGAACCCCCCCCCCCCCCCCCTACACACCAGTCTCCCCCAATCAAAAGTGAAATAGAAAACCCAAACAGATTTTAATAAGCTTCACTAATTAATCAGGAGTACTTGCCTGTTTGAGGTGCATTAGGAGCAGAAGTGGTTACAGGAGCTACCGTGGTGGTGTATTTACCACTGCCATCATCTAAAGTTGGATACATAAAATGAAATTTTGAGTGCTGATAGACACTAGGGAGCACCTTGTTAACCATAAACACGATTAACTAAATATAACGTATTGATCTCAGTCTGCAGGGGAAGCCTGGAACCAGGTTCCTTCCTTTAGGAGAAAAGGGAATAACTGGGCCGAGTAAAAGCGAAGCGAGGCAAGCGGGATCTGGGCAGGGGGAAAGGGTGGCGGATCCCCCAGCGCCCGCTTCAGTCCCCCGCTATGTTCACCTTATCCCTCACCAAGCTGATCCAGGCAGGGAGGGGCCAGACTGTGCAAGGGGTCCAAATTCAACTTTAACATTTATTTTCAGAGATTTGTTGCGCCTAATTAGGCTCAACGTCGTTACAGAGGGGGTATAGAAATAGTTTTTCAAAAAGGCACTTAAAAAATACTATCTTGCTAAACATTGACTTGTGTGCGTGTGTGTGTGCGTGCGTGCATGTTTGTGTTTTAATGAATAACAAAGCTATAATAGAATAAAGTCAATCTTGTTAAAGGGCCATAATTAGTTTTGCTATAATGTGCCCTTCTCCATTATAATTTTTTGTCTTAGGTACACGTAGTTTAAACAACCTTGTACTAATTAATATTGTACAACTAATGTATTATCTGTAGGATGGAGTAAAAATAAAATACAAAAAATACAAAAAAAGATACACCTATAAATTTCCCGAAATTTGCCTCCCATATTTACTGTAAATTTGAGCGGTCACCGTTTGGATTTCCCAAATGGCTTATTTTATTTTAAACGGTCACTTTGAGTTCATCCCTCAGAACATCCATATTTCGCGTCACTGTTGTTGTGATTAATAAATTGTAAATAGAGTAATCAATTTTGCCCTCTTGGTCAATTTCTGCCACCATGATCAATGGTCAGCCTCCATTAAGCGGTCAGCTTCCTGGCTAATTCCCGAGGGTGAACGCTTAATAGAGGTTTGACTGTATTGTGCTCTTCTGGTTCTACTTCCGGATTAAGAGTTTTTAAGGCTGAAATGCGCCTTCCATTTGCCGTTCAAGAACAATACTACATTACAAAGAAAATTAAAGCTAAACGTAGAGCTTCTCGCCACCGATGGCTAACGCTCTAATCGACCAGATGTTGGATTCTTTTCCGCACTTTGACCAGTATAAAAAAATCTATTTTAATTTCTAAGTTGCTTCTCAATGGCCAGTAAACATCCCGAGAAATGAATTAAGCATTGTGCATTGCATTTGTGCTTCCATTTCAAGTTTGATCTTCAAATCTGTTTAAAAGGTGACTTAAAAATTCCTTACCGCAGATCATACAAGAAGCCATACAGGTTGTTTTCATGGCTTCTTCTTTACATATATCTTTGCCGTTCCACTCGATCATCAAGTTGCATGGAGGATATTCTGTCCTAGTGTCTTGACAGACCTCTACATTAAAAATTAAAAATAAATCACCGTTAATGCTTGTAGGAAAACTTTAACTTAAATAACTTACTGAATCAAACTTGTAAAAAGAAGTTAAAGGGACATGTGATCGGTCATCCACCAAAACACCTGGACACTATTAATCACGACCGTCAAGTAAACTGCACTTTATGCAGAGTCACCCAGTTCCACGGTAGGGAGGCCGAGGGATGTGAAAGAAGGAACCACCCAGGGTTTTGCTTTGTATGTTATTTTTGAAGTAACACACTGAGATTCTGAACGGTTAATACTTGGCTCATGAATAGCTCCGACATGACATGGACGGCACCGAACATTGTTCTTTTAATTTTCCCAGTATGTAACATACCTGAACAGTCCGGGCCTGCCCAACGTACTGCGCATGAACAAATACAGCTTTGAGCATTCAGAGTACCGCCATTTTGACATTGCAATGGACATTCTTGCATACAAAAAAAAAAAAGAAAACATAGAAAGACAGTTCAAAGATAGTCATGTCAAAAGTCAAAGGTGTGCATTCATCATGAGTTCGTCTTGGTTTTTCTGAAATTCAAACTTGTGTAAAAATATGAATTTTTCACTTTTGACATGTATACATGTGAACTTTGTTTTATTTCTTCATTGTTCTTCAAATACTAATTTATAGGGGTTTTTTACTTGTGAATCGAACATTCTGCTTTAAATCGGAAGAATGGCGTCACGTTATTTCAGTAGACGGTGGTATCCCTGCCCTGCCGCAATAAGCTGACTATATCATATGTCTGATGTCATTGATGTCCCAATTCAACCAGTGTAAACATAATGTGTCGTTGGATTTAAATGATAGCCACCGTAAGATTATGACTAAAGGAATTTACAAGAACTTTCACCCAGTGAACAACTTACTGCACAAGTTGCACATTTTGGGACACTTCTTTTCCATCAATTCGGGGTCCGATTTGCACATGGCTTGTGTCAGACTCCCTCCACATTCCTTGTCAAAATCAGCACAATCTCCTGACAAAGCAAGATTTTGGTTGAAAAATCTCTTAATTTAGTCGTATTACTTGGCCTTTAAAAACACCAAAATATCACTTACTAGTTTTTAATTCAAGGTCAAAAAATTCTGCTCAAATTATAGTGGTATCAGTCTTCGGCCCTTTGCTATCTAAGCCTCAAGAGATTAACACCACTTCACAGGCGTTCTAAGTCGCCTGGTATTTTCAAATAACATTGTGAAGTCCATTCTAAACCGTCCTCAGGTTTCGAATTGAAAAGGAAGGATCAATACAACTTGCGAACGGCTTAACTTTAGCTCCTAGAGACGCAATCACTTGACGAATTGACTCGGATCCCATCCAGCCTGATCGATAATAGAAAATCTGTAAAAACCAGGGTTAAAGGTCCACCAAGGTGCCTGTCTCTTATTTAAACTTATGTTTGGAAGCGGTGACTACTTACTGCACAGGTTCTTGTAGCAGAATCCAGAACCTGAAGCGCATTTGGTACATGGTTTGCCTGCCTGGTAAGGTGTGTCCTTGGAATCTGACATCACGGTTCTTAGAAATGCCGTAAATGAGGAGCAGAACATAATATCTATAATTTGAAGTGCTAGCTAAGGTATACCAGATAACTGAAAATGAAAGGACATTATATAACGATCCGTAACAGTAAAACGATCGAAATGATGACAAACAATGTTGCGTTATTGTTTTCTGCGACGAATGAGGAGACACTTTACGAATACCTGCTACAGCCTGCACTGACTGCGGTTAAGTCCCCGAATAAGTGAAATAATCTGCTAACAAACATTCGACTAGCAAATCAAAGAAGCTTCTACCCAGATGCAGAAGGCAATTGCCCTCTCAAATGTGGAAAAAAATGGATAGTTAATCAATTGTGGAAAATTCAAGTTGGCTATTTTACATGCGTAGCTCCGGATTTAAACTCTGGGCTAATAAACGAGAATAATTCGATAAGTGGTCTGGGCAAGACATCGACCACTAGGATTGGGCCTCTGAATTACAAGTCCAGTTGCTCTGATGTTTAAAGGGGCTGTGTCACGGCAGTCCAGTCCATTTTGTTTAATTTTGCCAGTTACTCACCCTCAATCGCTATCGAACTTAAAGTAAGCAAAGAAATTACATGTAAATGACAAAATCAGTTATCCGAGACAAACAAATATGTCCCCTTAGCATTACTTNAAAATGAAAGGACATTATATAACGATCCGTAACAGTAAAACGATCGAAATGATGACAAACAATGTTGCGTTATTGTTTTCTCCGACGAATGAGGAGACACTTTACGAATACCTGCTACAGCCTGCACTGACTGCGGTTAAGTCCCCGAATAAGTGAAATAATCTGCTAACAAACATTCGACTAGCAAATCAAAGAAGCTTCTACCCAGATGCAGAAGGCAATTGCCCTCTCAAATGTGGAAAAAAATGGATAGTTAATCAATTGTGGAAAATTCAAGTTGGCTATTTTACATGCGTAGCTCCGGATTTAAACTCTGGGCTAATAAACGAGAATAATTCGATAAGTGGTCTGGGCAAGACATCGACCACTAGGATTGGGCCTCTGAATTACAAGTCCAGTTGCTCTGATGTTTAAAGGGGCTGTGTCACGGCAGTCCAGTCCATTTTGTTTAATTTTGCCAGTTACTCACCCTCAATCGCTATCGAACTTAAAGTAAGCAAAGAAATTACATGTAAATGACAAAATCAGTTATCCGAGACAAACAAATATGTCCCCTTAGCATTACTTTTAATGTTGCAAGCAGCAGGGATCAACTTTGAAAAACTGTTAGGCAGTTTTTTAACAGTTTTCAAAAATCCTAATTTCAATCCGGTTCAATCTTCTTCAGTTTTGCCCATCGGTGACATCTGTTGTTTCTGTTATGTTATTTTAACCTTCCTTTAAAGTTTTAAGTGGTTATTTTTATGTTTCTCTTGATTCAACGGGCATTTTGTAATTTCCTAATTTGGCTGAATTTCGTGACACAGCTCCTTTAAATAGAAATGCAGTATATTCTGGCTGTTTGATTCTGAGGTGCAACAAATGCCTCAAAAAGAGATGCAAATAATTAGAACTACAACCATTTACCTGTCATAATCGCAACCAACAAATGATCCACCATTGTTTTGACCATCACCAAAGTTAGGGCATAAGTTGACGGCGCAGCCAACAAACTTTGCTTTCGCCCAAGTCAACTGAAAAAAAGTCAGCTATGATTCAGGATCTGATCAGGATCTGATTGCACGAAACTTAACGGACGGATATATAGTAGCGACTAGCTTAACTGGTCGGGGTCACCATCTCAGGTCTTTGCGACTTACTACGGTGTATTTATTCTATCTAAATACAGTCAACTCTCTCTAAGACGGACACCTTTGGGACCGGCACGAGGTGTCCGTCTTATAGTATAGAGAGTCGAATAAAGGGAGTAAAGAAAGGCAGGGACTAACTCTAAGTGTCCGTTTTACAGAGGTGTCCGTCTTATAGAGGTGTACGTTAAGAGAGAGTCGGCAGTACTAACATTAGTTGCAGCGATGGTACGTATTTCTGAAAGATAGTAAATTTTGAAAAAAGATTGATTCGGGAAGGATAAGATAGACTTGCGTAGATAAATTGCCCCAGCGTGTAAGAGTTTACGACCATGGCGCGCTAACTGTAGCTATCTTAGCTTTTCGGTCAAGCAATCGCCGATCATAGTCAGACTTAGTTGGCAATTAAAAACCTTGGTACCATGGGCTGTTGCCGGAGTTGCCTAACCAGTGACTTTAAACATGGAATCTTGCATTTGAAAAGTCACCCTTTCAGTAGAGCTTTTCTTTCGCTTGCTCGCTTTTGGGTTACTCAAGAAAGACCCTGCATGAATCGAGTAAGGTCTTTGTTGAGCACGCATTGGAAGTTTCTAAGATTCGAACCCGAGCCTAACAGCCGTGTGCTTGTTATGACTATCGGTTTATCAATAAACGGATGCTGACACTCGGAAAAAAAAAAACAGCTTGACGAGAGAGAACAAGATTGTCTAGTCCAGAAGTTTGGGCTGCGGCGACCTCAAAGGTTTAACTTGATTCAGGCAGAGCCTCGCAGAACCTCCTTTTCTCCTCCACACTCGCGAAGACAAAAGGAAGCTCTGCTCACAGGGTGGTGTAAAAATTATTTACTTTCTATTTCCCTCTGGATCCACAAGTTGCCTAAGATGAATGTTCGGCCGGTATGTAACTGTCGTCAAATATATTTTTAAAAAATCTGTTAAAAGTATATAAGTCCAAGTGTTAGCACCTGAAAGTCATGTAAGTTAACTGCAATTAGTAATTTTTATTTTTTCGTAATCTTCGAATTTTTTAAAACGCCTTCGTCAACTTTTGATATATAGTCGTCGGTGCGTATTCGTAATGGGCGTGCGTCGTCGGAACAGTTTATTAGAAATCCACTGGTAACATATATGCCGGAGGCCGAATTTTTGCACGTAAATCTATCCTCATTTCTCGTTAGTTAAACGTGAATATACTGTTCAGAATTCAAGAATCGAAAGAAAATACTTTTGTAGATTAGTAGACAGAAAAAAGCTGCTGGAAGTATGAGCAACTTGTGGAAAACAGTACAAGGAAAGTAAAAGAATAAGAATCAACGAGCAAATTAATCTGATATACAAACAATGTTTGGTTTAGCAGGCCATTTTACCTGTATGTAATGTCCGCAAGGTGGATTCACGCAAAAGCCTGTCCTGCTACCATACCGAAAGTTGTTTTCTTCGTCGTCCCACTTCTTCACGCGGGTCGTTGGATCTGGGAGGTCGTAGTTATCTTTAGCCAGATTCTGGCCTTAAGAATCAAAGAGAGAGCCAGTGGTCAAGGAGCTGTCATGGAAGTATAGAAAAGGGCAAGAGAGAAACTGTTCGTGCTAGTATTACTATGACGGCATTAAAAACTGCCCACTTTTTAAGAAAATACTTCTTATAGCGAGTTCTGGAGGACACCAAACATGAGAAAGGAATAAAATAATGCGTTTATTTATCTTCGTTGTTTGTGTCCTGCAAAGACTCGCAATCATGCTGAATTTAAATATACTTGAACTATTTTAATTATGAAGCATGCTGGGCCATGTTTAAACATATCATGATTAATCGACAGCACAAAATCAGTGATAGGACGGTTGATTTTTGCGCATTTTTTAGTAAATCCTATCGAAAGTCAATACCCTATTCGTAAGTGAGAACAGTGCGAGCTTTTATTCCCTTTTTGTTGAGTTTGCTAGCACACTAAGAAACAAAAAAAGAAGAGAGAAAACTGAAAAAGATTGCTATTTTCCTCGATCTTCAGCCTTTCTAGCAAAGTTGCGATCCATCGAGTAGGATTTTTTGCGCATTCTGGCCAACTATTTTTAGCAAGCAATTCCGCTTTAATCGTTTTCTATTTTGTCTGGAAAATCATCCGCAATTTCTTGAACTGCAGAAAGCCAAAACAGTTTAGCTGCCACACAACTGCCATGTGTGTCAGTGGTGGGTGATTTTTATAATTATTCCATTACTGATGTCAGCAACCTATACATAAATTAATTCCGTGCTTCAAAAAATAGCAAGCATCTTTCCATTCAAATTAGCCAGGCCTGTATAAGCTAATCAAAAACGAAAATTATTTTCAACGAATACTAAATTAAGGTAAGGAACTATCTTAGGCATGATAGAAACTTACCCATTCTTCCTTTCAAATTCAAAGGTAGTGGATATTCTTCGCCAAAGTATAGGAAACCATGCCACCATTGACAAGTATTTACCCACATTTGTGCCAAATTCCCCAGATTTTCATCCCAAAACTGAAAGAGAAAGAAAAAGATATAGTGAAAAATAAGTAATTTACAAAACCTTTTATCCCTCTCCTGTAAGAGAATAAAGGACTGAACCAGCTCACTTTCACTTGTGGAGATGGGATCTCATAATGAGGGCGGCAAGTATAACCAAAAACGGGGGTGGCAACTTATAATTATTTAGTCATTATTGATCGGCCTTAAACAGAAACCATTTCAAAAAAAATGTAGCAAATTACCCTCTGGGTCTGGTTCCTGAAAGCCCGATTAGCGCTAACCCAGGATTAAAATTTTGTTCCACTTTTTGTATTTACCTCCCTATGTATTACTTAGAGTAACATTTTTATGTTATCATTACTGTATCTCAGAGTGCAGGCTCAACAGTATTTTGTAAGCTTGAGTTACATGGTCGAAGACAAGAAAACCGTGCTTAAAATTTGGCTTAATCTTGGTTAAACTTAACCTTCTTTCGAGGAAACGGGCCCTGAAGTGCTTTCAACCAAAACTGACTAACCACCAAACCGTGTCGAGTAAACGATATGTTCTCTTCTCTTATTTGCAGTAAATACCCACCAAGTATTCCATGTCTGCAGCAGAAGGTGTCACATTTGAGCGAAATTTGTTATGATCGTCCACAAACTTCTCTTTTAATTCCTGCGTTAGTTTGCAAGTAGCAAAATCTGCTCTCGTTGGCGGGTTTAGGTCGACTCTTACGACGGTTGCTTTAACTGCCCTGTCCCTAGACTGAAACTGTATAACAAAGCACAGTATAATAACAGGAGTTAATTTCCAAGGCATGCCTTGACAACTAGGTCTTCCTTGTGGAAACATGAATAAACCCCGGTTGATGTTAGCTCCGCTTCGTTTAAAGGTTCTCTGTTTTTCATTAATTTTAAACAGTAGATCATACGCTCACTAAGTGGTCCGTTAATGACCTAATTATAAGGTCTTTTGTGATCGTATGCGAAAACACACTCACGGTTGGGCGACAAAATCAACAGCAAGGGAATGATGCTTTTCAGAAAGAAGACAAAACTTTAACTTACGAAGTTCGTACTTCCCAATACTAGGGTTAAAAAAGAAAAACGGAAAAGGAACAAGTAAAACAAGTTCCGATAACAATTGGAAGTACTCCAAGGACTCAGGTACCCGCTTAAAAAGGTTAGATTAAAGTAACCCTGAATCCTTGGAAAACATCGACAGGTCAGAAATTCGCATTGCCCTCAATATACCTTGTTTGTCCAACGAAACTTTCCATAACCATAGGATTGTTTTCAATTACTCTCGACCGAGATTCAGACAAAACTGGCAACGGTGGGCGTTCGGCAAAATTTCAGGGACAAACGAGGTGCACGGTGTGTCAAATGTAAAAGTGGCGAATTAAGGCGTTGAGGGCCTCTCTTGTCTGATGATCATCGTTGCTAGGAGGCGATATGGGCTCCAGCGACTGGGTCGCAGCAAAATGTCAAGAACACTTCAGTTATCCATTAAGAGAAAGCTTTTTTTTCTCGGCTGCTAAGTTTAGTCATATTGTATTTATTGTATTCGGCAAACTGTTCTCTGGGCCGGGTCGTTCGAAGCTGGGTTAAGATAAACCAGGGTTAGAGCGAAATTTGAACTCAGATATGAGACCTTAAAAATCAAATTCAGTTTAATTCTCTTTGCCCATAATTTCACGATTGGATACTCTAAAAAGAGTAGAGAAAATCATTCGATAGAGTGCTTTTGATGAAAAGAAACCCGGGTTAGCGCTAACAGGCGTTCGAACAACTGGGCCCTGGATACAGTTATAGTGAGAATATTGACAAATATCAAAATGTACGTCATACTAGAAACGGTTTCACCAACTTTAGTTCTTGAGCCGCAATATCTTAATTCTGTCAGAGAACCAACCCACGCCATCCAAACAGGAAAACTATAGAAATTCCTCTGTTCTCTCGCTGAAACTAGGTTTAAACTCAAGAACTAAAGGTGGTGAGGCCGTTTCTAGCATCCTTTTTGCGCCATCTACACAATCTGCATAACGCCTGGACCTGCTCACATCTTTTTGCTCCATCCTCACAATCTGATCACCTGCAACAGGCTACTAGCATCAGGACTGACGTAACCTCATAGGAAATTAAAAGTCGTATCACATGGAAGTTTTTTTCAGGTTCACAGTGTTATCGAACTGGAATAACAAACATCATTGGAACGGTCCTATATATGCAATAATATTTTCTGACTGTCACGTTATATTCCATTGATTGTATGTGGCCTGGACTTAAGAGGACGCTTTCTGTAAGGATTCGCGTAATTCCTGAAAGGTCGTCTTTAATTCCCCTGTTTATTTTTTATGGTGTTCATACCCAAACGATCTACCGAAGCTGGCTTGAATGACATTTGTATTTTATATACTCGACTGAGTAGGGGCCTACAACACTTTTAATCAGCCTTTACAACAACACTTAAAGTTATAACACACTTTTAATTAGGTGCGGTATGATATTGTGTAATCTTCAAAATGGCAGTGAACATAAAGGGTTTGTATTGGAATGCAAGTAAAATAATCAAACAAGAAGATAGACACTCTGTGGAATATTCCATAAAATACGTTTTACCTTATTTAGCGATTTATTTCACTCCCAAGTTTGGAGTGGGAAAGATAGGTTTCTGGTGACACTCTATAGACATTTCTAACACATTAAATCGGGGATTAGACCCTTAGGGAGGTCTTTCCACCTCTCCGTATACCCTGAGGCATTATCTCCCCCTAGAGAGGATTGCCACCTACCGCCTTTGTCCCAGAAAGTTTACGGGATAGACAAAGTGACCTACAGTACCGACTGGAGAACTTTTTATTTCTTACCTTTCCACACAATAATTCTGGTCTAACGACTAGCTCTTTGCCTTTAGAGTAAGAGTTGTGGATTGGAAGCAAAAACATGTCATTTTGATTTTAAAAAAAATGACGATGACGAAGGAAATTTCAGGTTTCAGATGCTAAAAATTTACTGTACTTTTGTAGGTGATTAATTATGTTAACTAAAAAATTAAAGCAACTGTAGTTCACTGTGCATTAACGTCTTTACTTGTGGAAGGGGCATTTGTCTTCGCAGAGACTGAACCTCTTTTGAGCGTCCAAATTATGTTCCATTTTGACTCTTCGACGGCATCTTGCAACTTGCAAGTAGAAGTAGAATTAATTGGAGATTCACAAATTCGTTTTAAGGTGTCAAAGACCTTTCCGGAGGGGCATGCTACGTGACTGGTGACGCCATACGAACAGGCTATGTACGATTGGCAGTTCCTTGGAGCTTGATAATGGCCGTTTCGTTTTCCACCACAGAACAGGACTTCTGACACTAAAATATAGGTAGAGATTTATTGACTTTTTTTCTTAGAAAACGCAAAAATAAACTGTAAAGAAGCAAGAGAAATCAAATGCTTTTAACACTTCATAAATGAAGGGAATTTTATCACACACATTTCAATTTATGATTTTCGTGGCAAAAATTTCCAAAACCACACGAATTATTTTGTATGTCAGAACAAAAGCACAAGACGAGTTAACCCTTTTTTAAGGGAAATCACATCCTAACCTTTTGTCTTTATTTCATGAATAAAATGCGGGCGATTCACATTAATCAGGAGCCCATCAAAAGGAGCCTCCATCTCCATTAATTTCTTGAGTCAACCCTTTCCCGAGTAGATTTATAAATAGAACGGCTTGTTTCCCGCGAAAAGTGTCATATTTCCGTGAGTCTCGTATGTCACCGTGAAAAAAATGAAGTTCGATGAGGTCGAACTCAGAAGCCCGTCCTTCGACCGTTTTCCTTTTTTACTGTACGTCCATTTTTACAGTTTTACAGCCGCTGGGATCTGGGATGAAATAAAAGTTAATGAATTACCCGACTGAGACTGAGCATGAAGCGATGGGACAAAGGCAGCGAACTGAGGATCACGGAAAGGTTCTTTGCGAGTGTTTGTTTTTGTTTTTGTTTTTCTTTTTGCCGTCATACATCCCACATTTAAGCATGCACCTTGAAAAGAGTCGACGATTAAGCGTTCTGTGGACGATTTGAAACTTTTCGATGATCAGCGCCGAAAAAGTGCCAGGATCATTTGATTTTTGTCATCGCCGTGGAGTGGATTTCGCCAGTTAAGCACCGCGTGCAAAAGCGATGACCTAAGTAGCAACTAAGGAGGAATGCTTCAGAAAAATTGCAGTCTTCCTTTACAGCTGACTTGTATCACCATGAGAGTTGCCTGATAAAACTGGCACTTGAAAAGTTGAACAGAAGACAACAGTTGCTCGACCGTGGAATAACGGTGGAATTTGCGACATCGCGCTCCAGTCCAAAGACCCACTTATCTCAAGAAAAACAAAATGGATTGTATCTACGCCCAAAGAATTATGACTGACTAACAGGAGAATTCTCAGCAATTAATGTAGAAGTTTAGGCCAATTCTTTCCTTCGAATTCGCATCTGTAGATCACTTTTTTGCGAGAAAACAATGGCTGGGCTTCGCGTTACAAAACATAGCAGGGAATCATGACACTAACTGACAGACAAAACAACCACAGTATTTATTCAGACAAACGCATTTCGGAGAAAAACTTGAAAAACTAGAAATTTGATTAATATTGAGTCATTTAGCCGAAACAAGAACCTTAACGCTCAAAAAAAAGTGGCTAAACAAAACGAATCCTGTCAGAACTACAGACTGCAGGTAGTAGTTAATCATTACGCATGTAACAGAACAGCTTCATGGCCTCTTATAAATGTGAGACAAACAACCAAAATTAAAGTCACGTTTCACTAGCTTATGATTTTGTTTGGTCTGTCAACACCGGATTTCCTGCTGTTTCATGAAGTACAATAATAGCAGTGTCATTTAGTCGTTGTGATTGGCTCTTCCCACCGTCGACGCGCGAAGTCTTCCCTGGGAACCGTTCTAATTATAAATCTACTCGGGAAAGGGTTGACTCCAAGGGCTTGTATGGGAGATGGAGGCTCCATTTGATGGGCTCCTGACAAAACATGATTGTTTACTTATACCCTACACTCCCCTTTCTACTCCTCCGCATTGGAATTTTGCTCTTCCTCATTTTTTTATTTTTTTTTTATTTCCCTCCACTACATTAGGACATGACGCCCATGATTAAAAATGTAGCATCACATCATCGATTTACAATCTCTTAAACGTATATTATGACCTTATGATCTTACACAAAAATCTGTAACATTTATGTAATGCATGTGTATTTCCCCGCAGGTTATCGACGAGACTCCCATCACCGCAAAAAAGGCTAACTCGTTGCGCCCCGTACTACTATCTCCTTTACCTCGTGTTTACATTCCAATAATATGGTCATGATAGTCAACTGAACGTTTCTTAATTCAGGATGATATTTGCCAATTACCATCTTCAATTAATCTCTTTAATCTCCATTTGAAAATCATTACTTTCACCGATATACTCGAGATATACTCTAAGACACAGTGTATCATTTTTGTGCAAATCGCGCATGCGCGTGCCAAAGGCGATGTGTGCTCTAGTCCATGCCAAGCTTAAGAGCCATGAAGGCTTTTTCCATACTTGTCCTTACTTATTTATATTGAGACCTGCCGGACTTTGACTTAAAAAATCTTTGATACCCACCATTCACATTACAGCTTTGAGGACAGTTATCCATCATCCAGCTAGAGTTGGACTTGTCACATTCCCCTGTGACTGCCCAAGCCGGGCACGCTGCGTGTCTGTCATAAACTGTAAAGGAAAACATTGAAAGGTTGATTTTAAAATATCAATAAATACAAAGGCATATAGGACTTTTATCCAAAGAATTCATTGTTTTGAAATAAACGATGACTAAAGGCCATTTTTGTCTTCCACTTTACACTAATTAAAATTAAAATCAAGCTTTACATAGTATGCTCGCTTATTCAGTAGTCCTTACCAATGCCTGCTTGATAGGGCTCCTTGAGGGTTCGACGAACTCATGATGACAATATAGGGAATGTGAGCGGCGAATTATTGAAATGTATTAAACGCAACTACAAAAATTCAAATGATGAGGCTCATGAAGCGACAATTATCAGTCTCACCTCTACAAAGTCCACAGCTTTTTCTACATTCTCTGTTTATCAAATTTGCCTCAGCCTTATTTTGAGGACCACACCCTCCGAGTTCTTTGACCCGCGAAGGACAGCTGCTAGGATCTGTGTCTTTACAGTCTAAACAAACGACGTAAAACAACAAGGCAAACTTAATATATATTTTTGAGCAAGTACTATAATTTGCAGTCTGTCCACTTTGAATCAATATGAAGTTGAACGGTCCTATATATGCAATAATATTTTCTGACTGTCACGTTATATTCCATTGATTGTATGTGGCCTGGACTTAAGAGGACGCTTTCTGTAAGGATTCGCGTAATTCCTGAAAGGTCGTCTTTAATTCCCGTTTATTTTTTATGGTGTTCATACCCAAACGATCTACCGAAGCTGGCTTGAATGACATTTGTATTTTATATACCCGACTGAGTAGGGGCCTACAACAATTTTAATCAGCCTTTACAACAACACTTAAAGTTATAACACACTTTTAATTAGGTGCGGTATGATATTGTGTAATCTTCAAAATGGCAGTGAACATAAAGGGTTTGTATTGGAATGCAAGTAAAATAATCAAACAAGAAGATAGACACTCTGTGGAATATTCCATAAAATACGTTTTACCTTATTTAGCGATTTATTTCACTCCCAAGTTTGGAGTGGGAAAGATAGGTTTCTGGTGACACTCTATAGACATTTCTAACACATTAAATCGGGGATTAGACCCTTAGGGAGGTCTTTCCACCTCTCTGTATACCCTGAGGCATTATCTCCCTCTAGAGAGGATTGCCACCTACCGCCTTTGTCCCAGAAAGTTTACGGGATAGACAAAGTGACCTACAATACCGACTGGAGAACTTTTTATTTCTTACCTTTCCACACAATAATTCTGGTCTAACGACTAGCTCTTTGCCTTTAGAGTAAGAGTTGTGGATTGGAAGCAAAAACATGTAATTTTGATTTTAAAAAAATGACGATGACGAAGGAAATTTCAGGTTTCAGATGCTAAAAATTTACTGTACTTTTGTAGGTGATTAATTACGTTAACAAAAAAATTAAAGCAACTGTAGTTCACTGTGCATTAACGTCTTTACTTGTGGAAGGGGCATTTGTCTTCGCAGAGACTGAACCTCTTTTGAGCGTCCAAATTATGTTCCATTTTGACTCTTCGACGGCATCTTGCAACTTGCAAGTAGAAGTAGAATTAATTGGAGATTCACAAATTCGTTTTAAGGTGTCAAAGACCTTTCCGGAGGGGCATGCTACGTGACTGGTGACGCCATACGAACAGGCTATGTACGACTGGCAGTTCCTTGGAGCTTGATAATGGCCGTTTCGTTTTCCACCACAGAACAGGACTTCTGACACTAAAATATAGGTAGAGATTTATTGACTTTTTTTCTTAGAAAACGCAAAAATAAACTGTAAAGAAGCAAGAGAAATCAAATGCTTTTAACACTTCATAAATGAAGGGAATTTTATCACACACATTTCAATTTATGATTTTCGTGGCAAAAATTTCCAAAACCACACGAATTATTTTGTATGTCAGAACAAAAGCACAAGACGAGTTAACCCTTTTTTAAGGGAAATCACATCCTAACCTTTTGTCTTTATTTCATGAATAAAATGCGGGCGATTCACATTAATCAGGAGCCCATCAAAAGGAGCCTCCATCTCCATTAATTTCTTGAGTCAACCCTTTCCCGAGTAGATTTATAAATAGAACGGCTTGTTTCCCGCGAAAAGTGTCATATTTCCGTGAGTCTCGTATGTCACCGTGAAAAAAATGAAGTTCGATGAGGTCGAACTCAGAAGCCCGTCCTTCGACCGTTTTCCTTTTTTACTGTACGTCCATTTTTACAGTTTTACAGCCGCTGGGATCTGGGATGAAATAAAAGTTAATGAATTACCCGACTGAGACTGAGCATGAAGCGATGGGACAAAGGCAGCGAACTGAGGATCACGGAAAGGTTCTTTGCGAGTGTTTGTTTTTGTTTTTGTTTTTCTTTTTGCCGTCATACATCCCACATTTAAGCATGCACCTTGAAAAGAGTCGACGATTAAGCGTTCTGTGGACGATTTGAAACTTTTCGATGATCAGCGCCGAAAAAGTGCCAGGATCATTTGATTTTTGTCATCGCCGTGGAGTGGATTTCGCCAGTTAAGCACCGCGTGCAAAAGCGATGACCTAAGTAGCAACTAAGGAGGAATGCTTCAGAAAAATTGCAGTCTTCCTTTACAGCTGACTTGTATCACCATGAGAGTTGCCTGATAAAACTGGCACTTGAAAAGTTGAACAGAAGACAACAGTTGCTCGACCGTGGAATAACGGTGGAATTTGCGACATCGCGCTCCAGTCCAAAGACCCACTTATCTCAAGAAAAACAAAATGGATTGTATCTACGCCCAAAGAATTATGACTGACTAACAGGAGAATTCTCAGCAATTAATGTAGAAGTTTAGGCCAATTCTTTCCTTCGAATTCGCATCTGTAGATCACTTTTTTGCGAGAAAACAATGGCTGGGCTTCGCGTTACAAAACATAGCAGGGAATCATGACACTAACTGACAGACAAAACAACCACAGTATTTATTCAGACAAACGCATTTCGGAGAAAAACTTGAAAAACTAGAAATTTGATTAATATTGAGTCATTTAGCCGAAACAAGAACCTTAACGCTCAAAAAAAAGTGGCTAAACAAAACGAATCCTGTCAGAACTACAGACTGCAGGTAGTAGTTAATCATTACGCATGTAACAGAACAGCTTCATGGCCTCTTATAAATGTGAGACAAACAACCAAAATTAAAGTCACGTTTCACTAGCTTATGATTTTGTTTGGTCTGTCAACACCGGATTTCCTGCTGTTTCATGAAGTACAATAATAGCAGTGTCATTTAGTCGTTGTGATTGGCTCTTCCCACCGTCGACGCGCGAAGTCTTCCCTGGGAACCGTTCTAATTATAAATCTACTCGGGAAAGGGTTGACTCCAAGGGCTTGTATGGGAGATGGAGGCTCCATTTGATGGGCTCCTGACAAAACATGATTGTTTACTTATACCCTACACTCCCCTTTCTACTCCTCCGCATTGGAATTTTGCTCTTCCTCATTTTTTTATTTTTTTTTTATTTCCCTCCACTACATTAGGACATGACGCCCATGATTAAAAATGTAGCATCACATCATCGATTTACAATCTCTTAAACGTATCTTATGACCTTATGATCTTACACAAAAATCTGTAACATTTATGTAATGCATGTGTATTTCCCCGCAGGTTATCGACGAGACTCCCATCACCGCAAAAAAGGCTAACTCGTTGCGCCCCGTACTACTATCTCCTTTACCTCGTGTTTACATTCCAATAATATGGTCATGATAGTCAACTGAACGTTTCTTAATTCAGGATGATATTTGCCAATTACCATCTTCAATTAATCTCTTTAATCTCCATTTGAAAATCATTACTTTCACCGATATACTCGAGATATACTCTAAGACACAGTGTATCATTTTTGTGCAAATCGTGCATGCGCGTGCCAAAGGCGATGTGTGCTCTAGTCCATACCAAGCTTAAGAGCCATGAAGGCTTTTTTCATACTTGTCCTTACTTATTTATATTGAGACCTGCCGGACTTTGACTTAAAAAATCTTTGATACCCACCATTCACATTACAGCTTTGAGGACAGTTATCCATCATCCAGCTAGAGTTGGATTTGTCACATTCCCCTGTGACTGCCCAAGCCGGGCACGCTGCGTGTCTGTCATAAACTGTAAAGGAAAACATTGAAAGGTTGATTTTAAAATATCAATAAATACAAAGGCATATAGGACTTTTATCCAAAGAATTCATTGTTTTGAAATAAACGATGACTAAAGGCCATTTTTGTCTTCCACTTTACACTAATTAAAATTAAAATCAAGCTTTACATAGTATGCTCGCTTATTCAGTAGTCCTTACCAATGCCTGCTTGATAGGGCTCCTTGAGGGTTCGACGAACTCATGATGACAATATAGGGAATGTGAGCGGCGAATTATTGAAATGTATTAAACGCAACTACAAAAATTCAAATGATGAGGCTCATGAAGCGACAATTATCAGTCTCACCTCTACAAAGTCCACAGCTTTTTCTACATTCTCTGTTTATCAAATTTGCCTCAGCCTTATTTTGAGGACCACACCCTCCGAGTTCTTTGACCCGCGAAGGACAGCTGCTAGGATCTGTGTCTTTACAGTCTAAACAAACGACGTAAAACAACAAGGCAAACTTAATATATATTTTTGAGCAAGTACTATAATTTGCAGTCTGTCCACTTTGAATCAATATGAAGTTGTGATAATCAGAAGGTTCAAATGGTGAATAGCTCAGCGCTTACTTTTGAGTTTGTCTTATGGTTGCAACTCTAGCTTCTTTTACTCTTCGCTCCCATCTTATCCGCGAGTTTTAGAAGCCAAAATATCGAACAAAGCCGTCTGGTTACTGCTTAAAAAGACGGAAGTGTCACTAAGACCGCACAGTGTTATTCAGTAATTAAAATCTCCGATCTGTTGATAAATAGAATTTATGAAAGTAGATAAATGTTTTTTTCGACTGGCCCTCTACAATTATTCCTTCTTAACATTGTTGTTGATAAATAATACGTTTATAACAGGGGTGGTGAACTTTGACTGACATGGGTTAAACTCAGTTTTCATGACCTGCCCTAGGCGGAGGTATCCTCAACCTAGAGCTACCTAGCTACCCTTGAAGTAGTTACAGAATGGATATTTTATCGCTAAGATGCTTACGGCAAAATACTTCTTGTCATCGGTTTTACCTCCGCATTGATTGCAACTTTTCCGACAATTGACTAGCATCCAATCTTTGTTTCTTTCACATTCAGCAAAGTAGGCCCAGCGAGGACAGTCTGGATTCGAATCATTGCAAGCTGTATAGGGAAAAGGTTCTCGGTGATTCAATTCTATAATCGAAACCTGCGCCTTAAGAATTGCTGCAAACAACTTTAATCCGTTTTGAAATCGCGAAAGTCGATTTAATCACCCTTGCAAATAGACGTACCAAGAACCAATTTTTACATTGAGCCAGTATGTAAAAGACAAAAAAAGGGGGAGCGGAAACGCTTTCAAATGGGCTCATTTTGTATGGAAAACGGAAATTAAGCGATCTGGAGCAACAAATGCGATTTAACAACGATAAAGGTTAGAACAGCATTGATGTGATTTAGAAAAGATGCGAAGAAAAGCATACTAATTAATAAAAAGTTTAACTTAGTCGTTGTCAAGTGGATACTTTTAACTTAATAACAATACACATTTACCTTTCGGTGCCCGATGATATTGACAGCTGACACAGCAGTTTGGTAGCATCCAAGTCGGGTTTTTTTCGCACTCTCCACGTGCTGCCCACGCCTCACAGCTCGGATTTTTATCGGCTTTGCAAACTAACAAAGTGTATACATGAAAGAGATTGGCTCTCAGTGTATGTTTATTGGTTCGCTTTACAAATGGCATTTCTTTTGAAAGCCAGCAGCCGGTATTTGTATCTGCGTTACGCTAAGCGAAGAATTAAAAATATCGGGAACGAAGACATATAGATAGCCTGAGTATCACGCCTTCCTAAAGGGCTAGGGGAGATGGGATTTTAGATGCGGGAGGGGGAGGGGGGGAGAAGAGAAAGGAAGGGCGTTTCTCTCCTTCAGCTCTCTCCGTTTTTCGCTTCCATCTTTCCCCTTTTCCCCCAGAAACGCCTGATACTCAGGCTAACAAATAGAAAGAAAACAAACACACAACAAAGAGGCCAGATTTTGATAAAATTGAGGGTTGCAATAATTATTTGGGTTTCAGCTGCTTCATCCACTGCATCCCCCTGGGACTATGAGCTTGCATGTGCGTCTGAGGCCAGCTTCAACCTTCTTTTCAGGGTCCTACTCGAGGTTGGGCTGGTACAATTTTCACATCATAAAGAGTTATTTTAGACGAAAAACCCTTTTAAAAACTTTGCCAGTAACAGGTGCCACAGTTTTTCGTTTTGTGACGAAACTAAAGAGTCCCGCTTTCACTGGCTGATTTATCAGGGAGTCGTGAAAGAGCATAATGGAACATATAGATTGGTGGAATATCGCTCTGAGGAATACATTACATAAGTACATTTTATGTATAAGTAGTAATGTTCCAACCTTGTGAAGCGGGTCCTTTTGTCATTGGCACTGGGGTCGCAGTTGTTGGGCTTATCACTGACGTTCATGGATAAAAAAATGTTTGTGTGGTTTAATGATTAAGAATACAGTAAAAGCCAACGTGTAAGAACCTAGTGGTGCAAGAATCTGCTGGCAGAAATTTGTCATTTCAATGCCCAAGAATATAAGAATCTGTTAAGCTGAGAAAGATCAAGCAGGTTTTTATATCTGGGTTACAGTTAGAGTATCAGAAACAATTTTACCAAGGAGTTTGACTTCGATTTTGCAGATTAAAACCAGACATTATGGCAGACATAATATGATTTATGTCAAGGCATGGTACTCACATGATAACTCGCTAGGTCAGGCTGTACCAGTTACTGCAAGTCTAGCCAATGGGTTTATGGGGCGGTGTCAGGGTTAAGTAAGTATATTAAGATTATTTCAAGGTTATTTATTATTTATCCTAGAAATTCTTCCTTCTCTCCCTCGTCATCAACTCGGTTAGATCACGAGGGCAAGTACTTCCTTTGAATATATTCTCTTTTCTTTTTTACAGTTGTTTGTTTATATTTTAAATCTGTTCCTCATCGGAAAGTATAGTAAACCGGAAATGAAAGCAGAGCTCACGCAGCGTTGGGCCTTGTTTTGAACACATGCCTTCATATAAATTACATTAAAAAAAATACTGAAATAAATATTAACTTTACTTATTTATTTAATTTGTTTTTTAATACCCAGCTCTTGCCGTAGAAATAAGAGTACATTCTGTGATCAAGTGAATGAATGTAAATTTAAGGATAAAACCCAAGTTTTTTTTTTTTGCCAATCAACAGAAACGTTCAGTTAAGGAGATAATTATAAGAACATGCTAAGGCCAAACTGCCAACAACTATATAACCCACGCAAAGCATAAGAAATCTTGTTTACCTGATTTCACAAAAATGTAGGTTCTTATAAGAGGGTTTGTACTGTAGTTTAAAGCTGGTGCAGTCACTGCCTAATATTGGTTTATTATTCAAAATGGTTTTTAGCTTCTTTAAAGTATGTTGAATAAAAGCCAGAAACATTTACCTTATCAATTGTTGCTGAAAAAAAAAAACTTGTCGAATTGTAGCCCTTTTCAATTTCAGCCAAAAACCTAGGCTCGATTACCAGCCGCTGTTCGGGAAAATGAGCCAGCACTCATCCCCCGAAAGAGCGGCTGGACGCGTGCGATTTCCTTTGTTAGTTTAAGCCAATCATGTTACCGCCTGCAGATTTTCGTCTGGCAAAGATTGTCGCAGAAATTATCACATCAAAACAGAAAGTCCTTCCTGTTCTTCCTTGATCCATCGCATGGCGAAGCGATTTCGACGGCGCGGAGACACTAGGCGAAATCCTAGAGTCCGAAGGAACACAACGTTTTGTTCGATTGTTTGTTGTGAATGATTGTGGTTGGAGAGATTTTGCCTCTTCAAGGATCTTTTCAAGACGCTTTAGGTGTCGATGACTGCATTCGTTATAGATGTAACTGTCGACGTTTATATTTGACAGAGGAACATTTAATACGCTGGAAATTCTGTCTGGTAAATCAGACACTTTTCAATTTAATTTGGTCCGCCTCCTAGAATCAGTCAGTTCGGACCCACAGAAGACGAAATCCAACATTCGAAGATCAAAGAAAATTAACTACATGTCGCCGTGTACAGAAATGTACCGAAGAATCTTTTTCGCAATGTATGGAAATGTACCGAAAAAGCTATTTCGAAAGTCATTTGGGAGGGTAAGGGAACGCTTGATGCAATTTTGAGCCAAATAAATAAGAAAATTGGAGACCGGTTTCACTTCCAGTGACGCTAAAATTGTCAATTTTCCAATTACGTCATAGACAAGGTCAACGGGTCACGCGTCCAGCCGTCTCTCTTCGGGGAGGATCCAAGACCGGACCCGGGAGACGGCGGAAATCGAGCCTACCAAAAACCAAGCAATGGCAGCCCCTTTAGGGGCTCAAGCTTCGAAGTGGTGCTCTTTAGGAGATTTATGTTGAACTCCTTGAAAAACCCGGATAAAAAAACATAAAAAGTAAAAAACGATTTCAAAAACGACCGTTTTACAGTCCAGGGAGAGCACGTTTTTAGCTACGCTGCCCTTCTTCCTTGCTCCTGCGCGGGAGTATCTGTTTGCTTGTACATCCGAGGACAACTTTTTTCCGCGTCATAACCGGTCATACAAGACACAATAGTGGCAACTAAAGATAATTAGAGCTGACACAGTTTGTCGTTTTACGACAAAACTAACGAACTTTTTCAGAAAGACGTAATTTATTGCTAAATAACTACCCAAGCTCTCACCTTTTGAAGCAGGCCCTTTCGTCATTGTATTTGGTGAGGGTCCGATTGGAGCTGCAGTTGTTGGGCTAACCACTGCAGACGTATATAAAGGTATAATAGGTTTATATGAGAGAAAGTGGTTAATGATTAACAAGGGTTGACTGAAAGATGAAACAATGACTGCCTTCTTCAAAATGGTTTTAAGGCGGCTCGATGGGATTTTTTAGGGTCAATACCTCCCATGTTTGAATACTAGCTACGTCACAGTTCAGAAAATAAAGATTTAGAAAAATTAGTAAACAGTTGTATTAGATGAAGATGAAAATTTGTTACGATCAGGGTTAAATGTCATAGCAACAAAATGCCGCCATTACCTATGCAGCTGTATTCTCGGCACATGGAACTTTTTTTTCCAAAATCGTTCACGGAAGCTTTTTACTCCAATAGCTGCCTGGATGATCTCAGATTTTGAGCGAATTAAATCTACGACAGCGTAATGGAGATATTTTTAGATGAAGTTTTTATGATTCCAAATTCAGTGTAAAACTGTAAATCGTAATGTTCGGACGTTATCTTTAAAAAGCGAAGCGATTCTTAAATACAAATTTTTAATTACCTCATAGCAGTTTCAATCACTTTCAAAACGTGATTGAAAAGATCATGGGATAGCCTTAGCCGATCGCAAGAAAGAGGGATTTGATTAGCACTGATGCAATGAGTGCGGGGTTGGAGAATAGCAATTGACCCGCGAATACTTGCCTGTAGTTTGCGGTGCATTAGTGGGAGTAGAAGTAGTTACAGGAGCCACTGTAGTGGTGTATTTGCCGCTACCGTCATCTGAAGGGGAAGAAGACAGCACCAAACTATGAATTATTATTAGGCAATAACATCTTTAAATTTCAAAGAAATTTCCGAAATTCCTTTAAATAAGGCAATCAGGGTAGTTTCCGATAAGTCTATAGGTATTGCGTGGTGTGGAAGAAATTTTTGCTCATGCTGATCCCGCAAGAGGCAGAACAAAGGCTTTTGCTGCGATTGGGACGTAATATAATTAGCCTTAAATCGTAAATTCAAAAGGTCTATTTCAGCCCCAAAGTACTTTTTTAAAATCTCGTAAAATGACAGTCATTCGATGCTGTCCTTCAGCAAACGAACGCATGCAATCATTATTGTTTATATTTTATGTATGGTTTAAAAAGCTGTATAGACGGTCTTGGAAATTCCTTACCGCAAATCATACAAGAGGCCATACAGGTTTCCTTCACGGACTGTTCCATACATACATCAACATTTTTCGCCTTATTCCACTTGATTAAATCAGAACATGGAGGATTCCCTGTCCAGGTGTCTTTACAAACCACTGCATTGGAAACAAACAATAACAAAATAAATGACAATAGGTAGACTTCACTAACTTAAATAACCCGAATTAAATTGTAAAAATTCTTAAATATAATTACATGTAGTTGCAATTATTAAACACTTAAAAGTCCTAACCAGAAGACACGCAAATCTTCATATACTGCCCATACCCATGCACTGTAGTAAAGGTTTAGTGTAACCTCCTTGAGTTTTTACTGCTTATATAAGATCAGAGGAGGAGTGAACGTCTTCTCACAGTGCATTGCAATTGTGTTTCTTACAATCTGTTGTTACGATTAAAGGATGCGAGATATGACGCTAGGTTAGGGATCCGTCAGGTAAGTTTTCATGAAATGTTAAAATGAACAAAATAATCATGGAATATAAACTCAAGAAGAACCTTTGCTGAAGCCCAGTACTTATTATTTTCACTTGGAAAGATTAACTGAGCTGAATTCGGTTGACCGTAACGCTCAATGAAATCGGTCGCTCAGTCAGCACCATTTTGCGGCGATAAGTAGGAATTCATAATAGACCAATATATGTTGTTTGCTTTTTTGTATGACTTTTTGCATCAGCGGATCTACGTCAACGCACGATCTCGTTTTCAGAAGAACAGTTTCCCTTTATAAGATAGTCAGCATCTTTGCAAAAAGTCGCATCGCACTGTATATTATCAGCTATTATTATCAGTACTATTTTGAAACCACAGAACCACTGCGACTAACCTAAACATTTGCACCTCGGCTCGGCTCACAGTCGCGCTGGTTTTGCATTACAAGATTGATTAGAAGTTTGCAACACTGTACCTGAACAATCCGGGCCTGTCCAAGGTACTGGGCACGAGCAAGTACAGCTCTGCTTATTGACAGTCCCGCCGTTTTGACATTGCATTTCACATTCTTGAATACAAAAAAAGAAAGGAAAAGAAAAAATGGAAAGACAGTCATGTAAAGTAAAATAAGGACATTAAAGAAAAAATGTTATAAATAATCGTTAAAGGGAAAGTGCATTCATTCGTCTTGATTTAATCTGGATTTTCTGAATCAAAATTTTTCGGAATGTGCACGGTTTTTATGTTTATTTTAGTTAAATAGTTTTTGTCCCATGTAAAAAAAGTTCCGTTTAAGTTCTCTTTTTTTCCTTTTTTTTTACCGTGAAGGCAAAACTTCCCCCCAAGAGCTCCGCGTTATGCCACTAAATGGTATCCATTATAAGTACTATAATAGCCACTGCCAAATAATGGCTTATTAGGAATTTACGAGAGAGTCCACATTGAACAACTTACTGCACAGGTTGCACATTTTGGGACACTTCTTTTCCATCAGTTCGGGGTGCGATTTGCACGTGGCTATTGTAAAAATCCCTCCACATTGCTTGTCAAAATCAGCACACTCTCCTGGAGAAGTAACATTTCCTTTGTAAATTCTTGAATCCAATCGTATTCCTTTTAAGGAAACACCAGCACAGCACTAGCTGTCTCTGTTTTTATGGGCACAAACGTTTGTGCAATTACGTTGGCATTATCGTAACTTTCAGTTTAACATTCAACCTACAAAAGTTAAATCACATAACTGTGGTCTAATTCCCCAAGATATTTTGGAACAACAGTCTCAATTCGTTTCTTATAAGTCCTCAGCTGTCATTTTCCCTTGGTTAGAGTCTGATTCGTATCGTAAACTTTAAGGCCTAGGAAAAACTCGAACTTTTCATGAGACGAACCAAACTCCAAATAATTTGGGTCGACCTAAATTAAGTTAAGATTGTCTGTTGGCTCACACGTCGAACTTTGGACGCGTCGAACCAATCAACTGATTCAGACCAAGAAGCAGTTTTCATAAATTTTCTCCCGAGCAAGGCTAAATATACATTATGATACAAATTTGTAATTTAGTAGTTTAGTCCATCGAATGTGAAGATCGACGTTTTTCCCGGAGACGATCTTCAAACATTTTTACGCTCGAGGCAGACGCATAGAACGTGTTGGTCGATCCGAAGTCATTCACACGAATTTAACTGAGCCAGACGTTGAACTTTTCATGAACTTATCTTCCTATGTTTGGTTCGTCTCATGAACACTTGGACGTTTGGCCTAGGCCCAAGTTTCGAAGCTTACTTCCGGTCTTATTTCAACTGTTTTTATACTGATATTCGTTATTATTCGTTGCTTAAAGCCATGTACTTACTGCATAGATTGTTGTAGCAGAATCCAGAACCAGAAGCGCATTTAGTACATGGTGTGCCCGTCTGGTAAGGTGTGTGGCTTTTATCTGACATCACGACCCTTATGCGCATAGAAGGAGAGGCACAAATTTAATAACTATGACTAGAACGAAACATAAAGTGCAAGCTCACGTATGAGATCATGAAGTAAGGAAGTTAAGGAACATGTACATAACATGGTAAAAACGAACGATAAAATCCGACGTTTCGGAGTAGTCATGGCCCTATTATCAAGGAAAAATGTTTTTGATCATGCAAATTACAGCATTTAAAGCGATGTGGCGCGAAAATTAACATAACAGGGTGCGAAGATTATGAAAATACTTTCGCACGAATAGAGTCTGACAGCACGTTGAGATTTGGCTTTAAGGTTCTTATGACAAGAATTTTCGTACACTTAACAGACAAATTTGTTCCTACATTTCTTAAGCACTTCGAAACGTTTCAGCAGGTCCTGATCGCCCCCGTGCACGTTCTTGTAATGTTTGGCAATGGCGGAGGACTGTTGTTTATATCCTTTGACACGATTGTGTAAATGTCCGCGTGTGTAACCTACATATAAGCCTGCATCACACAGGTCACCTTGGAAGTTATAAACTACACACTGAAACGTTTCGAAGTGCTTAAGAAATGCAGGAACAAATTTGACTGTTTAGTGTACGAAATGCTTTTCATAAGAACCTTAAAGCCAAATCTCAACGTGCAATCAGACTCTATTCGTGCGAAAGTATTTTCATAATCTTCGCACCCTGTTATGTTAATTTCCGCGCCAAATCGCTATAAATGCTGTAATTTGCATGATCAAAAACATTTTTCCTTGATAATGGGGTCATGACTACTCCGAAACGTCGGATTTTATCGTTCGTTTTTACCGTTTTATGTCTTACGAAATCTGTTTACAGGAACATGTAGAATGAGAATTACATTTAAACCATGGACGAGTGAAATATGGTGAGAAAACAAACATGACTAATGCCAAAACAATAATTTCTGTTGCACCGAGTATTTAAGCCTATTATAACCTGAATTTAGGCCACCTTTAGGATATTTGTAAGCGACGCACAGAAGAGACAGAAAAGAATCCTCAGACAAGCCTAACAAGTTGACGCATGATCAGGCCACTAGTGCCTAAACAGCTAATACAATTGGGGAATGATCAGCACTTGGCGTTCAGCATAAGCATCAAAAGTTAAGACAAAAACTCCAGTGGGACGGAATTGCATTTGACATGTTGCAGGAGCCGATTAAAAGGCTTGTTCATGATGATATTCATTATTTTCACATAGACCATAATACACCTTGTATTCTCCGCTAAAACTATGCATAACCATTGTTTCCAGTTTCTCCTGTGTAATACACTCGTCCCGGGAGAGATCGAAGACAATGGTTATGCAAAACGTCCCAGGAGAAATCAAAGACAATAGTTATGCAACTTTTGTTTTATAGAGAGGGGGGGGATAAACAAGGTGCTTTATGGTCTACGACAAAATGCTGATATTGTGACATCTCTCTGGAAGACTATGATGTGCATTTGTGGGAGTGGGGGGAGGTGGGAGCAAAGGACGAACAAACAAACAAACGACTACTCAAAGACAGCTGTATGCTCAACTCAACCGGTATTTATCAGATAACATGAAATTTGCCTACAATAACATTAAAAAAGACTGACAGTACTTGGATCCTCAAGAAAGGCACTGCCGGACAGTAATCAAGGCTTAGCTTGTGAAATATAATTTGACACCTGCTGTTGAAAGTTCCACAACAGCGTACTCCTGTACGAAAGAAAAGATCAGAGAAGAAAGATGCTGTTTAAAAAATACTTTATCTACACCAGTGCGTTATCCTCTGGCTTTGCTTGGAGCACTAAATGCCAATCTCATCAGAAAATAAATATAAATACTTTTATTTACCTATCGTAGTCGCAAGCAACAAATGACCCACCAGTGTTTTGACCATTACCAAAATTAGGGCACAAGTTGACGGCGCAGCCAATGTACTTCGTTTTCGCCCAAGCTAACTGGAGGAAAAGTAAACAATGATTCTAGGAACCGGTTGCATAAAACTTAATAACGGCGAACGCTAACTGAGCGTAACGTCACATTAGCTGCTATTACCCAGCTGAAGACCGGCAGTTAATAAGATTTGTTTAACTGGCCTGTGTTCTGTGCTTTTACCAGGTAAATTTTAAGGGGCCTGAGTATTAATGAGTTGACATGGTAAATAAACTATGAAAGATGCAAACTTTAAACAACTTGGGACAAATGTGGTCGATTCAACAGGAAAATAAGCTAAGGGAATTTGTGTAGAGCAAACATTGTAAAAGCACTGTAAAAGTAATAAGGAATTACGAGCAAAGCAATGTAACTTAATCTTGTTTCGTGGTTGCCTTAAGATGCATGTTCCAAATTAAAAGGTGCTGGTAATTTAACAAAACAATGTTCAAGAAATGCCACAAAAACCAGAAAAACTCTATTTGAACCCAAGATTGCCCTCTTCCTTATTTGGACAGAAACAAAAATATAGGCTTATTTTGTGGTATACTTTTTGGTATAATTTGTTCGGACGTCGTTTCAGAAATCCAATGGTAACTTGGAGGCCGAATTATGTACTAAAAAACTTCCCTGGCTTATTTCTCAGAATTGTTGGATTAGTTAATAGAAATATTTGCTCAAAATTGAGATGTGGTCAAAGATATAGCGACAGCATCTCATGGAAACCTTTACGACAGTAGTAACAGTAAAATCAACGAGCAATCCTTCTTTGATAAAAGCAAAAAAAAAATTCAACTTGTCGTTGGCTATTTACCTGAATGTAATGCCCACAAGGTGGATTCTTACAATAGCCATTTTGAATTCCGTATACAAAGTTTCCTTCCTCGTTGTCCCAGTCCTTTACGGGGGTCGTTGGATCTGGAAGGTTGTAAGTTTGTCGAGCGAGATTCTGACCTTAAGATAATCAGACATAAATTAATTTTTAAAACCCTGTCGTGGAAGTACTAAAAGGGTGTCTAAGAGAGGATCAGGAGTTTTCGAGAGATTAATAGCATCGAAAACTATCTCAAGTATTATAAGGCGTGGCTCAATTAAATGCAAACTTCGGTTAGAACACATGATCGTTTGACAGTACCTTTCGCCAAATCATCCATTTCTGAGAATATATCATGAGCGGAAATTTAAAAAAAACAACATCATATACACCAGAAAATAATAAATTCTGTAAGAGTGAAAAGATCACTGACAAATACAATTTGACAGAGCAACATGAAGTTCGATTCATTGGACACATCTACGCAAAGAGAGCTAAGGACGATTCAGAAAAGAGGCAGCCTACTATGTTAAGCTATAAAAAGGAGTAACTTTTGATCATGAGGAATGACCAACGGACCGCTTGGTACAGGTACGTTGACCATTTGTATTGCCAACTTCGGTACGTGCAATCTTGTGTGGTACATTTTCAAACTTGATCGCCAGTCATATCCCAGTTTTTAGTTGGCCTAACATGAGTCCATGACATTCACAATTTGTTTCGGCAGAAATAAATCATAGACAAGCAGAAACAGTAAAAAAACCAAGGATTCCGAAATTTTCACGCTTTGTACCCGAACACGGATCTTTGGCTGGGAACCGGTTGAACTGGAATGGTGCTGGGTTCACAACTTCCGGGGTACCCGATATGGAAGTGTGTTTGCTTCTTTTATGGCAGTTTGAAATTTGAGCGTGGCAGGTTGTTATGGGTATGCAACGCAATGGACTGCCTAGTAATGACTTAGAACCGTGTGCTTATACTCGGTGCTCCCTTTAATAACCGGATACAGGGTCTATTGCACATTGTATTCGCGCATCGTGACCAGGCTTCAAATGAGAACATAGCCTCAAAACCCAAAACCTGATTATGAGATAGTTTGTTCACATTTAAAGCGCGGGGACTTACGAGAACCGTGAAAATTTTTACGATCATTTTGCTTGGGTATTATAGCTCACCCTTCATCGGTGATTAAAAAGAAATTTTTTTTATTACGGAGGAACGCATGACTTTTTTATGTTTACAGATTACATGCAGTATGGGTTTTCAACAACTACTAAATGAGGCTGAGTATGAAGGGAAGAATAAGGTAAAGCAATTTGGAGGGTGGCCTTGGCGGTCGTGCACCCTCCGAGCTATGCATAATTCCTAATTCAAGCGCAGAATTTAATTTTTGTTTGCATCCATGAAAAAATATTTTCAAATAGCCTTAATTTCTTTTCTTTAAGAAGAATTTTCCCAAAACCAGACCGCTCTGGGCACTTCTACGCTTAAAAACAGTTGACATCCATTAAGTTGGATTTTTTGCGCATCTTTTTTGGACAGTGATTTGGTTATTTACGTCTTTGTATAGTGATGACATCGTCCGCTATTTTTGTTAACTCTGCATGCACAACCCTCAGGCAGGCCTGATTAAAGAATTATATTTAACGACTATAATTACAGAATGATATGTAAGTTTTCAAGTAATTTGTAGAGACTCACCCATTCTACCTGTCAAATTCAAAGGAAGTGGATATTCTTCACCAAAATATACGAAACCATGATACCATTGACATTTATTGACCCACATCTGAGCCAAATTTCCTAGATTTTCATCCCAGAACTAAGAGTGTCAGAAATAAAATTGAATTATAATGAAAGTTAGTAGTAATAAAAATGTTGTATGCTTCTCGTTAAAGAGATCTGGAAGTGAAAGAGGGATGAAGGTAAAAGGATGGAGGGTAGAATTAGTAATAAGGGAAGGGCAGCATATAATTAATTTTGGTCTGCATTATTGATCAGTCAAATTGTTTTTATCAAGGACTGATACGTACTTTAGTAAGGTCAAACCAGTCCAATTTTCTTAGTTACATATAATTTCTGAGGCTTTTTTTAGCTTTGACGTAAGGCAAGGCGCGGGGGAGTCCTACTTCAGCCTCACGGATGGTCTCCTCCCTTTCTAAAAGGCAGCCCTAATCGATGAGGAGTAACGCTTACTCTAATACCATATGTAATAAAGGTATATGTACGCTGTGTTAATCTACCTTTACAGTACCAAATACAGCAACTAACCGGTAAGTAAACCTCCTGTACTTTGAAAAGAACATCAGTATGACATGCAGGATGATTCAAAAGGTGAGGTACCATGCCTACTAAGTCAAAACGTAATATAATCAGTCTTCGTTTTTTGTTAAGATAAAAAAAAATAGGAACGAACATACGTCTGTCAGCACGTGTATAAGACGTACTGATAACATCTAAACGCCGGATATGCATTCTTGAAATGACCTATCCGTTTCAGAAGGATAATATTTCTCTTAGGCCATATCATCCTCTCAAGCGCCTGCTACCTAGGCTACAATTGGACGCAATGACCGAATTTTCCAAATACGTCAGAATTGCCTGTCTGATAAATTTAAAAAGCCTTTTTAGCTGTTCAGATGTCTTAGGGGCACTTTAGTCGTCTCGAAAGTTTTAGCTGGCTTTTTCGTCTCATCCGAAAGTGTTAGCTACCCTGATGGGTCCGATCGAAAGTTCGAGGAAATGAAGTTACCGACTGATTTCATTAGAAAATTCTTGGTCACGCTTTGCCTTAGCCTATGAGAGAAACGTCAATAAAATTGACGTAACGATGGCACACGATAAATGTGTTTGTTGTTTCTCGTGCGGGGTCCAAGAATATATAAATAATAAACTTCACCAGATATTGGGCGTTTAAAACTTTCGTTGTAATAGTAAAAATCAATTTTGCATTCTAATAGTGTCAATTGACGCAAATGCGGTCCAGCGAATCTGACTTTGATGTACCTTAAGCGACTCGCATAAATAAGATGTTACCCTCCAAAGCATTTTTTAAAAAATTGAACTTTAATTTAACACCCACCAAGTATTCCATGTCTGCAGCAGGGGGTTGCACATGTGACCGATGTCTGTTATGTTCGTCCACAAACGACTCTTTAAACTCCTCTGTTAGCGTGCAAGTGGCAAAATCTGCTCTCGTCGGCGGAGTCAGGTCGACTTGGGCTGCTTTAACAGCCTTCTGCTCAGATAGAAACTGTAAGATAAAGCACAGTATTACGGGAGTTAATTTCGAGAGCATGCCTTTGTAACTACTCGATTTTTCTTGTCCGCAAAACATGAATAAGCTGTGATGTTAGCTCCGTTTTGCTCATTGGTTTTCAGTGTTATATTAATTTTACACTAGAGATTATTCACTCAGCATGTGGTCCGGGAATGACCTAATCATGAGGCCAATTCGTTTTCTTTTATCTGAGGCCATTATTAGGATGGTATGCCAAAATTACACACTGTGGGGCGACAAATTTAGCACCACTGTCTTTGCTTGGAGCACTAAATGCCAATCTCATCAGAAAATAAATATAAATACTTTTATTTACCTATCGTAGTCGCAAGCAACAAATGACCCACCAGTGTTTTGACCATTACCAAAATTAGGGCACAAGTTGACGGCGCAGCCAATGTACTTCGTTTTCGCCCAAGCTAACTGGAGGAAAAGTAAACAATGATTCTAGGAACCGGTTGCATAAAACTTAATAACGGCGAACGCTAACTGAGCGTAACGTCACATTAGCTGCTATTACCCAGCTGAAGACCGGCAGTTAATAAGATTTGTTTAACTGGCCTGTGTTCTGTGCTTTTACCAGGTAAATTTTAAGGGGCCTGAGTATTAATGAGTTGACATGGTAAATAAACTATGAAAGATGCAAACTTTAAACAACTTGGGACAAATGTGGTCGATTCAACAGGACAATAAGCTAAGAGAAACTTTGTATAGCAAACATTGTAAAAGTATTGTAAAAGTAATAAGGAATTACGAGCAAAGCAGTGTAACTTAATCTTGTTTCGTGGTTGCCTTAAGATGCATGTTCCAAATTAAAAGGTGCTGGTAATTTAACAAAACAATGTTCAAGAAATGCCACAAAAACCAGAAAAACTCTATTTGAACCCAAGATTGCCCTCTTCCTTATTTGGACAGAAACAAAAATATAGGCTTATTTTGTGGTATACTTTTTGGTATAATTTGTTCGGACGTCGTTTCAGAAATCCAATGGTAACTTGGAGGCCGAATTATGTACTAAAAAACTTCCCTGGCTTATTTCTCAGAATTGTTGGATTAGTTAATAGAAATATTTGCTCAAAATTGAGATGTGGTCAAAGATATAGCGACAGCATCTCATGGAAACCTTTACGACAGTAGTAACAGTAAAATCAACGAGCAATCCTTCTTTGATAAAAGCAAAAAAAAAATTCAACTTGTCGTTGGCTATTTACCTGAATGTAATGCCCACAAGGTGGATTCTTACAATAGCCATTTTGAATTCCGTATACAAAGTTTCCTTCCTCGTTGTCCCAGTCCTTTACGGGGGTCGTTGGATCTGGAAGGTTGTAAGTTTGTCGAGCGAGATTCTGACCTTAAGATAATCAGACATAAATTAATTTTTAAAACCCTGTCGTGGAAGTACTAAAAGGGTGTCTAAGAGAGGATCAGGAGTTTTCGAGAGATTAATAGCATCGAAAACTATCTCAAGTATTATAAGGCGTGGCTCAATTAAATGCAAACTTCGGTTAGAACACATGATCGTTTGACAGTACCTTTCGCCAAATCATCCATTTCTGAGAATATATCATGAGCGGAAATTTTTAAAAACAACATCATATACACCAGAAAATAATAAATTCTGTAAGAGTGAAAAGATCACTTACAAATACAATTTGACAGAGCAACATGAAGTTCATTGGACACATCTACGCAAAGAGTGCTAAGGACGATTCAGAAAAGAGGCAGCCTACTATGTTAAGCTATGAAAAGCAGTAACTTTTGATCATGAGGAATGACCAACGGACCGATTGGTACAGGTACGTTGACCATTTCTATTGCCAAATTCGGTACGTGTAATCTTGTGTGGTACATTTTCAAACTTGATCGCCAGTCATATCCCAGTTTTCAGTTGGCCTAACATGAGTCCATGACATTCAGAATTTGTTTCGGCAGAAATAAATCCTAGACAAGCAGAAACGTTGGAAATCAAGGATTCCGAAGTTTTCACGCTTTGTACCCGAACACGGATGTTTGGCTGGAAACCGGCAGAACTGAAATGGTGCTGGGTTCACAACTTCCGGGGTACCCGATATGTAAGTGTGTTTGCTTCTTTTATGGCAGTTTGAAATTTGAGCGTGGCAGGTTGTTATGGGTATGCAACGCAATGGACTGCCTAGTAATGACTTAGAACCGTGTGCTTATACTCGGTGCTCCCTTTAATACCCGGATACAGGGTCTATTGCACATTGTATCCGCGCATCGTGACCAGGCTTCAAATGAGAACATAGCCTCAAAACCCAAAACCTGATTATGAGATAGTTTGTTCACATTTAAAGCGCGGGGACTTACGAGAACCGTGAATTTTTACGATGATTTTGCTTGTGTATTATAGCTCACCCTTCATCGGTGATTAAAAAGAAATTTTTTTTATTACGGAGGAACGCATGACTTTTTTATGTTTACAGATTACATGCAGTATGGGTTTTCAACAACTACTAAATGAGGCTGAGTATGAAGGGAAGAATAAGGTAAAGCAACTTGGAGGGTGGCCTTGGCGGTCGTGCACCCTCCGAGCTATGCATAATTCCTAATTCAAGCGCAGAATTTAATTTTTGTTTGTATCCATGAAAAAATATTTTCAAATAGCCTTAATTTCTTTTCTTTAAGAAGAATTTTCCCAAAACCAGACCGCTCTGGGAACTTCTACGCTTAAAAACAGTTGACATCCATTAAGTTGGATTTTTTGCTCATCTTTTTTGGACAGTGATTTGGTTATTTACGTCTTTGTGTAGTGATGACATCGTCCGCTATTTTTGTTAACTCTGCATGCACAACCCTCAGGCAGGCCTGATTAAAGAATTATATTTAACGACTATAATTACAGAATGATATGTAAGTTTTCAAGTAATTTGTAGAGACTCACCCATTCTACCTGTCAAATTCAAAGGAAGTGGATATTCTTCACCAAAATATACGAAACCATGATACCATTGACATTTATTGACCCACATCTGAGCCAAATTTCCTAGATTTTCATCCCAGAACTAAGAGTGTCAGAAATAAAATTGAATTATAATGAAAGTTAGTAGTAATAAAAATGTTGTATGCTTCTCGTTAAAGAGATCTGGAAGTGAAAGAGGGATGAAGGTAAAAGGATGGAGGGTAGAATTAGTAAACAAGGGAAGGGCAGCATATAATTAATTTTGGTCTGCATTATTGATCAGTCAAATTGTTTTTATCAAGGACTGATACGTACTTTAGTAAGGTCAAACCAGTCCAATTTTCTTAGTTACATATAATTTCTGAGGCTTTTTTTAGCTTTGACGTAAGGCAAGGCGCGGGGGAGTCCTACTTCAGCCTCACGGATGGTCTCCTCCCTTTCTAAAAGGCAGCCCTAATCGATGAGGAGTAACGCTTACTCTAATACCATATGTAATAAAGGTATATGTACGCTGTGTTAATCTACCTTTACAGTACCAAATACAGCAACTAACCGGTAAGTAAACCTCCTGTTCTTTGAAAAGAACATCAGTATGACATGCAGGATGATTCAAAAGGTGAGGTACCATGCCTACTAAGTCAAAACGTAATATAATCAGTCTTCGTTTTTTGTTAAGATAAAAAAAAAAATAGGAACGAATCATACGTCTGTCAGCACGTGTATAAGACGTACTGATAACATCTAAACGCCGGATATGCATTCTTGAAATGACCTATCCGTTTCAGAAGGATAATATTTCTCTTAGGCCATATCATCCTCTCAAGCGCCGGCTGCTTAGGCTACAATTGGACGCAATGACCGAATTTTCCAAATACGTCAGAATTGCCTGTCTGATAAATTTAAAAAGCCTTTTTAGCTGTTCAGATGTCTTAGGGGCACTTTAGTCGTCTCGAAAGTTTTAGCTGGCTTTTTCGTCTCATCCGAAAGTGTTAGCTACCCTGATGGGTCCGATCGAAAGTTCGAGGAAATGAAGTTACCGACTGATTTCATTAGAAAATTCTTGGTCACGCTTTGCCTTAGCCTATGAGAGAAAGGTCAATAAAATTGACGTAACGATGGCACACGATAAATGTGTTTGTTTTTTCTCGTGCGGGGTCCAAGAATATATAAATAATAAACTTCACCAGATATTGGGCGTTTAAAACTTTCGTTGTAATAGTAAAAATCAATTTTGCATTCTAATAGTGTCAATTGACGCAAATGCGGTCCAGCGAATCTGACTTTGATGTACCTTAAGCGACTCGCATAAATAAGATGTTACCCTTCAAAGCTTTTTTTAAAAAATTGAACTTTAATTAAACACCCACCAAGTATTCCATGTCTGCAGCAGGGGGTTGCACATGTGACCGATGTCTGTTATGTTCGTCCACAAACGACTCTTTAAACTCCTCTGTTAGCGTGCAAGTGGCAAAATCTGCTCTCGTCGGCGGAGTCAGGTCGACTTGGGCTGCTTTAACAGCCTTCTGCTCAGATAGAAACTGTAAGATAAAGCACAGTATTACGGGAGTTAATTTCGAGAGCATGCCTTTGTAACTACTCGATTTTTCTTGTCCGCAAAACATGAATAAGCTGTGATGTTAGCTCCGTTTTGCTCATTGGTTTTCAGTGTTATATTAATTTTACACTAGAGATTATTCACTCAGCATGTGGTCCGGGAATGACCTAATCATGAGGCCAATTCGTTTTCTTTTATCTGAGGCCATTATTAGGATGGTATGCCAAAATTACACACTGTGGGGCGACAAATTTAGCACCACTGTATAGTAATATAATTAAATGAATGCTGAATTTACAAGTTAAAAAAATAAATTTCAAGCGATAAAGTTTCAATATCAAAGAAGAATTAGATAAATACTTCAAAGTCTCAGGTACCTGTTTAAAAGGTTAGACTAAATGGCTAAATTAACCCCGATTTCTTCTTCTAAATCAACGGGTCAGCAACTAAGGCTTTTGAGGGCCTCTTATCTAATGAATGGTGGTCATCGTTTAACATTGTCAAGATCACAACTTCAGTTACCCAGAAGGAAAGTTGTTAATATTCTTCCAGTTGCAAAGTTTATATATTGTAAATTAAAGTAATATTTATTCCTTTTTAAGGCAAATTCTAGATAAAGTTTATGGTGAATACTGACAATGACTGCAAGCATGGTCAGTGACTTCCCCCGCCAGCAGAGGTCCCTCGAGGCGAGATAAAAATGAGAGTCCAAGATAGAAACTCTCGGCTCTCCTCTCTCTACGTTTATGGTCCGTGTTGCAGCACAAGACACTTTTCAGGTAAAACTTAACGGCACTTCATCTACCCTAATTCTGAAGAACCAAGTAATAAGTTTGTCTCATCCTTTTTAAGTACTCCTACCCGCACGTAAAAATATCTTGCATCTGATTTATTTAGGGGTAGACTGTTTTACGGGAGTCCAGTATATTAATTTTGTTTCGATTGTTCAATTACATGATCGGCGTCCTTACTCTCCACTTAAGTTAGCGTTTAAGTGAAGACTGATACTTGTCATGACAAGCTCAAAGCTTCATGACAAACATACATATGCGTATTCCGAAATTATAATTTAAAAAACAAAAAATAATAACAGACGTGAACAAAAATTGTTAGGCTGAGCAGTTTTCAAAAACGCCAACAGCAATCATATCCAGTTTAGTTTTCTCGAGAGATCAACCTTAGATCTCATAGAAAAGAGAGGGAGTCTATATGAGCGTTGGCCCGGATATCTTAATTTAAAAACATTATTTTTAGAACTATGCGGACCATATGGAAACAGTTTCCGGTTAACTGGTTGACTTCCGGAAAACTCGCTTTCACGGTTCAGCGCGCCAAAGCGAGGCGGAGTCAACAAATGAAAAAAATGGCGGCCCAAGTGGAGGGACATTGATTGAATTCAATTGTCGTACTTCAACGACGAACCTACCATAAAAGCTGGTTAAACCTTCTACACAAACGGGTCCTTTACAAGGAGTATTTTTCTCAAAGACACGACCAGGATTCTTGTGGATCGCACTTTTTCCTGTTTGACTGATATTTTAATGTTCGGTACTTCACATTGGACAATTAACAATAATTCTTTGAAAACGAGGTGAATAGAAGCTGAATATTCGCGGCGAGGTAAATATTCCAAAAGCCACTATTCACCGAGATTGATCTGCTCGCCACAGAAAAATCACGATATTTTCCTCAACCTCGTCCAATAATTGTTAATTATTGAATTCGCCTTTCGTATCATCTGAAGAAATATGGATAACACCCTCCGAGATGTCCATAATTCTTCAGACGATACGAAAGCCTAATTCATTAATTGTTTCATTGTTCATTCAAAATAAGCTTGGCAAAGTGTGTTCTTAATTACATGGTATGTTCTTAATTCATTTGAAGGAAAAATAGAAGCTGACCACCCGAAAAAAAAAAATAATTGGGGTTTGGTCCTTAATTAAAACATGATTAGGTAAAAGTAAACAGAATATACATGTGGTGTTACCTATATGGCAAGAGTTGAATAATATCAATTATTATTTAACTACACTGCATAGTACTGACTATAATTTTCTTAATTAAGCATACCTGCACTGGAAAGTACATGCTAGCCATCATCCAGAAGAGAAAAAGAACAAACAAACAGGTTGCCTGAATGAGACATGCGGGCACACCATCACCAGAAATCTGAAAGTTGGCTCCTGGCAGGCTGGCCTGAATTTTCCATCAGTAAATCACAAAAATACAACAAATACACTATAGCGTAAGAGGGATTTTTTAATATCTTTAACAACAATTTCAACTATATTTTACTTACATGCTTTTCTATTTCTTGTTCAAGCAGGTCTTTGAGTGGCAGTTCAGCCCCTGGGTTGTTTCCTGGAGTTTTAGCGGTGATCTTCCACCGCTCATCCACTGTGGCTTGTCAACCTTCAACTAAGTAAGACCTTGGGAGGCTGTTATCTATCTGTGTTAACTCATGTTATGCCTTCCACGAGAAGGAGAACTTGTTCATTATGAACAGTTTTGCCCCAATCTTTTCCTTTTCTGATGAAAAAAGCCTTTCATAGGCCTGCTTTTTCTCGTGTGTGATAGATCAGTGCAACAGCATATTGTCAGTCTTGTGCCAGATAGTAAGATAGATAATATGTTAGACAAGGATATAGACAACCATTTATCTTTAATTTTATCCTATATCAACTCCAAAGTGCCAGAGGTTAATTCTTTTTTAAACATGTTCATGTCTTTAGATTTAGGTATCTACAGTTTTCCTCACCTTTACAACATTCCTGGTTTCTTGTTTGCTGGTTGTTTTCTTGACCTGGATCTGTGTTTTCTTTTTCAGGGTTACCTATAAAAAATGGAAAAGAGACCATTATTTCCGTGAAAATCATGTGTATTGCATACATGTAGTTGTTAAAAGTTTAAAATCTGGTTTGTTCCCTCTTGGCTTACCGCCGCCAGGTTAGCTCCATGGGATAAGCGCCGGTCGGCTGAGCGGGGGGTCGCGGGTTCAAACCCCGGCCGGACCAACACTCAGGGTCTTTAAATAACTGAGGAGAAAGTGCTGCCTTTGTAATAACATCTGTAAACGGTTAGACTTTCTAGTCTTCTCGGATAAAGACGATAAACCGTAGGCCCCGTCTCACAAGCCCTTGCATATGCAATAAATCTGTGTTAAAGAACCCACACACTCTTCGTGTAGTGGTCTATCTCACTTTCACACTCATGTATGGGGGCATCGTTACTCATTCCTTCATTACTTGTAAACTGCACCTAAGCAAAATAGTAAATTAGTAAGTAAATTATCCCTAAAAAGCCCTGAGGGGAGTGGAGAATAAGATATTTACAATTTACAATTTAGCTCGTTCCCCAATTAAGAGTCCAGTAGTCATCTCGGAGCTACGTGCCTTGACTTAAGAAAGTTTAAGCAGCGACGTTTTTGTCTGAGGCATGTCAACCGGAAGCGAACTTTATGCACTTTTTTGCTGTGACTTTGAACAATTTTTTGGGAAGTGGTCTAAGAGTAAAGGCACTTAGCAATACAAATTTGGTAGCGTCAAGGCATATTGAAGGAGAAAAAGGCTCACTTCGGGCTGACGAGCGTCGCTGCTTAAACTCCCTATTGACTCATAAAAAAAAAAACTCGAGCTCGTAGTCTAATTAGAGGATGTTAGCATCAACAACGAGTACGAGTACGAGAACGAGTTCAAGCCGTACTCGTACTCGAAGTCGTTTTCTCAGCTTTCTATGTTAGCGATGACACCGAGTTCGAGTTTACAGAAAATACAATTATGGGATTCCGCATGACTGGGCGCCAAATTTGAGTCGAGGTAGCGCTTCCACAACAATTTCGAAAAAAAAAAAATGACTCTAAAAAACGTTCAAGACTGCTTGTTACTCAGTTACATGGAAGGTTTTTTGGACGAAGAAGAATTTTGTGCTTTATATGATGTAAACAGCACAGATTATCCTGTATTTGAGCATGGAAAGTATCGAAGATTCGACCTGAATGAAGTTTCCGAGGAAGAGTGCTTCAGCGGCTTTCGTTTTAGCGACAAGGTCATTCCCTACCTTGGTCGTATTTGGCGTCTGCCGGAAAGATTTGTGTGCGAAAATTGAACAGCGGCCTCCAGTTTTCAAAGGAAAATCGATTTTTCGAGGTAACTCGAAGGATGGTTAGTCGCGGTCTTAAAACACGCTAAAACCTATCAAATTCAACACAACAACCACACTGGATAAAGAAGTAAGTATTCTTTATTGATATCTTCGACTTTTGGGATATTTTCGACCAAATAATGGCAATTTTCGGGGTGATTTCGTGAGCCTGTGAGGCCTGTGGAGAGACATGAAACTTTCCCGGGTAAATGCAAATTTACTCTGTGTAGGAAATATCGCGTTCGGTTGCTTTTCCTCGACTTCAAAAGCAGTATTTTACATAAAACATAATATAAGGAATGTTCAAGATGATAAAGAGAGGCTAGAAACGAAAAGAAACTGCATTAAACGATCGGAATTTACCTTTGAAAACCAGTTCTTCCCAGTCGTTCTACCCACTTCGAGTTTATGGTGAGAACTCGTCGTAGTGCAACTTGTCAGGACGACTTGAAAACGTGGAGATGCGCAGAACGGATGCGCAGTACGCAAAATCGCTGATCTCGTTCTAGAACTCGTACTCGTTGTCGATGCTAACATCCTCTATTGTTAAATAGGGGCCTTCAACCGTTTATTTGTTTGTTTATTTTGACATACCCGTGATTACGTTCTGACCTCAAAGAGTGAAAACCTACAATTAAGTGCCCTTGTTATTTTGAACGAAACACAGAAGTGACAGCGTTTTGTTGCTGGACAGGTACCGAAACACACAACAATCAGTTCACCCGCAGAAGCACTAAGAAAGAAATCAGAATGTCATAAATATGATACAATAAACACAAAGCAAATGAAACGAAAACCAGCCAAACGATAAAGGTTAAAACTGGCTTTGCTTTCCATACAATTACCATCTCAGGCGTGAGTCTTCAGTTGGCTTTGAAATACTCAAGCCATTGAGTGGTTCTTCAAGGACAAGCAGGAAATGTTTTATTTAACTGACCAGAACACCTCTTTTACTTCCAAATGAGGTGGTTTCAGTTTTACCGTGTGATCGAATGAATTAATTTAACTTAAAAAGAAGGCTTTCAATACATTCGCAACCTCAAAACGCATTTTCTTTTAAAGTGGTGCTGAACACCCGATCGAGCTTCTTGGATCAGTCATCAGTTCGTTGTTAAGTCAGTTTCTGGCCAAAAAAGTGCGTGTTAACCTCTTTACTGCACCCACTATGGTTTCCAAAAGCAGGATCAGCTTACAGAATTGTTTGAGGTATTGCGTATTTTTGTGCGTAAGTTTTTCTGTACTGTTCAGAAAGAATGATATGGCATCGGCACTGACCCAAGTTAAGCCTTCACGTGAAGATTTTGCCCTGACAGAACTTTCCGCCGAAGACAAAGAGAAATTCTTAGATGAACACAACAAGTTTCGTGGAATGGTTCAGCCGCCTGCTGCTGACATGGAGTATCTGGTGAGTCACACAAACAATGACACCACACAGACGTAACAACGATAAAACAAAACCAAGTTCATCAGGAGAAGGGAAATGAGAAATCATAAAGCTTTTAGACACCTGTTGCATAGCCTGTGGGTATGCAACGGGTCGTGTTCTACGAAAAAAAAAAAAACATTCTTGCTCGCGGCCTTCAAATTTTTTTCTCCAATTTTGGGTTCAACATATCAAATTGCCCAACGCGTACAATTGTAGTAGGCATAATCTAAAACACGACTTTCAATCGGCCATCATTTTGACTTAGACGGTCGTGGTCGACATCGAAAACAGAATCCAACAGAATGCAACGGAGGCAGATATTGGAAAGTTAGTGCTGCAAAAGACCAGCTGTAGCAATATCTCACTCACAGAGAAGGTTGCGAATTATTGAAGGTCTCAAAGGTGAAAAAAAAACTGATTAGCGTTAAAGGTATAAGAGAAAGCTTGATGAGGCCTATTTTGTTATTCTAAGGGAAAAAAAGGTAATGATGTGGATTATTATTATTATTATTATTATTATTTTTATTATTATTATTATTATTATTATTATTAGGCTTGTTTACGCTTTGCTTTAGAAGTGTCTTTCCTCCCTTTTGCTGTTATGTAGAGATTTCATCTTAAGTTGTCGTGATAATTGACCTGAGATAATCTAGTAATAGTATGCTTTCGGGTATAGCATAGCAAGAAAATTTCGATCGTCACTTAAATTTTACTTAGAGTGTAGAAATGGGCCCGCGTGTACGTTCATGACCCGGAAAACTTAAGTCACTTGAAATGTACTTGAAATGTAATTGCACAGCACGGGTGACACCTGACAGGAACCTCCAACATACATGGAACATGTCCTTGCTGTCGTGACTATAAATTTACTTTCTCTTCGTAAGCTGCAGTCTTGTGTACCGCAAATAATTATAAAAGGTGATACCAACAGTAAAAAAGGAGTTTAGCAACGAGGCTTGACCTAAGCCCCTTGGAGGAATGATCGATTTTGGTCACACAAAGTGTTATAAATTCGGACTGGCTGGTCCCGTGATTAATCAGAAAATTAATACTTTGACTAGATAAAAAATATTAAAATCATGTTTTCCAACAATTTTCTTCTTAACCACGTAGGTTTTAACCATATGAACCAAGTCGTGTGGCTTTTCGTGTACAAGAAAAATATATGTATATATTCATGACAGGTTTGTTAATAATATAAGTTGCTTCTCTTAAATTTGTGACTGTACTAGGGCGGAGATGTGATCAATCCTTCTTCTTTGTTATCAAAAACCCTCATTTTGTGCCTTATTTACATTTGTGCAGTTCTGGGACGACCATCTCGCAAACTTAGCGCAGATGTGGGCCAATCAGTGCATTTGGGATCACGGTTTTGTCGCGTTTGGTGACGAATATCCATATGAGGTACCCTTTAAGGGGCGTGTAGGTATGTGACACTGAAGGAAACGTGCTATACATACAAGTACTTCCTGGTGACATAACTAAGTAAAGTAAAAAGAAATACATTTCCCACAGAACGTCGCTTAGCGCGACGAAAAGGGCCAACATTAGGAAATAGAGAGGGAAATAAAAGAAGGATCGAAAAAGAAGCGGCTGGGAAATAATATCACTTGACAGCCGCGATTCGAACCTGGATCAAACGCATGAACGCCAGCTGTGTCACCATTTCTGTTCAACCCATTCGCTCCTACAAAAGTGACCACTGTTAGCGAAACCATTTTGGGCCCAAAGCCTCTTAATGACCAGCGAGAGCGATCATAGTTCTATATACCTCTTTAGGAACTACTAGTTGTTTGAAAAGAGAAGAACATCAGTTTAAAACTAGGCTTAGCAATGTAACCTAAAAAGATTGATCGTGTTCAGGTCAAAATCTTGCAAGGGAATGGGGTGAACTTTCCTCTCCAGAAGACCGCGTGGAACCATGGTACAAAGAAAATGAGTACTACACTTACAGCAAGTTTGCCAGCCCAATGGGAGCTGCGTGCGCCAAGGAACCTTGCGGCCATTACACTCAGGTATGCATTACCCGGCTTTTGGAAGTCCACCATAGGACTTTTCCCCGGAGACTACGGACGTACGTTGAAATAACCGCATTTCTCCTTTTTCTTACTTCTTTGCAAAGCTTGCTTGGGCACAATCAAAGTTTGTGGGATGTGGAGTGAAGTGGTGTGACAAGGAGTTTGGTATGTCCCATCCCTGGATCCGTGGGGAGACGATTGTCAGTTGCGACTATGGACCTTCGTGAGTAACTCTACAACTCTTTTTGTAGTTACGTTCTTCCCTACTTAACTATTCTCCCAGCTACATTTAAAGAAAACAAAACCTCTGATATCATGGCACAAACCCAGGGGGAGGTACTCTGGATTTTAGGTGACGGGAATGATCAAAGGATTTTTTTGGGTAGGAAAATTTGGCTAAGTAGGGATTTTTTTCGTATTCAAAACAATCTGAAGATTCGTGGCCGCGTAGTTCAGCGAATTAAGTGCAACCAAACTTGGGCTCGGAAATTCGGAATGGGCTTTTTTGGGGGTTGACATTTGATTCAGGGATTATTTTTTGGTTTTGTTGGAAGCCATAGGGATTTTTTGGGTTTTGATTTTTGCATTGATTCTATCATCCCCGTCACTTGTATTTTGGAAGTATGACTCGAATGAAGTAACCTTGTCACCTTTTAGCTGAAAGGCATTTATATATTGGGATAAACGATGACACCTGACGGATTTATGGGCCAAGTTTCCCTGGAGCTAGAGATGCAAATTCAAATTCTCTTAACATTCATCATCAACGGTCCAACGAACAAATTCTTTCCAAGTAGCCTGAATTTCGAGGGGTGATAACTTCATTACGAAGCCATAACCAGGAAATCATGAAACCATACAGCATTAATGCGTAAACCATTCCTAGAAAACCTGTCATCGTGTCATCGTTTATTGTAAATGCGATGCTATTCACAGTTAATAGCGCTTTTTATCAATTATCAGCAATGCAGGGTCATCAATGACGATGTTCCTGCTTTGCTATCTGAACCAACAATGAATCACAAAGCATTGATTGCATGATTTGAGCCTGCAAGGAATTCTAACTATTTCCCTATCTCCATCCCAGATGCAGATAAGACAAACAACCAGGAAAATAGCCCTTCACAAAAATGTCATTAAGCCATTAGCTTAATGGGTGTTTTATCTTCTCTTCATCTTACAGAAAAACTAGGAAGGGCTTTGCCAACCTTTAGGTGGTTCGCAGCTCGTTGGTTAATGTTGTTCGTTTTTTCTGTTTGTTTCTATACTTAGTATAGCTCAGAATTTTTGTGGCAACTTTTTCACAAATCTCGAAAATTGTTTAGCTCATATTGTTTATTTATTTATATATTTTATCAACGCGTCCTTTAATTTATCTCCCTGATTATATTTATCCGCTTGTTTCAAATGTTACTTATATCGCACAGTAGAATTTATAAAACTATCTATTTTGAAAGCACACGATTTAATCGACTAAATAAAGTATTTTACTCAATGCCAATACTCTATTGATCCAGTCATTAAAAAAAAATTAGGAATATCTTATCTTGGATGTAAAACAGAACGACTTTTGTCATGTGACAAATGGTAAACATTAATTCCATTGCTTGTTTTGTAATACCGTCATTGGCTGGAGAAAAATATGGGATTTAACACAAAAAAATTGACAAGTCTTGAATAAATTACTCTGCCACAAGCCAGTCAGATTGCAAGGATCACCAGTGAATGTGCAATAGATGAAATAAACATTTATAGTACATTTTTTCCTGAAAATAAAGGTTAGCAAAATCAGTGTCTGTGATAGATCTTATTTATTCACTTATTTGTTTATTTGTATTAATTCTTTTCCTTTAAAGAGGTAACATTATAGGACAATTTCCTTACAAACAAGGCACACCATGTTCAAAATGCGCCTCTGGGAAAGGATTCTGTTACAAAAATTTATGCAGTAAGTACAATTTAACTGATTCAGCTATAAATCTAGGAAAAGGTAAATACGTAGCTCAGTTTAAAAAACAATACAGTAAGTCGTGGGCCCAGTTGTTCGAAGGCCAATGGACCTGTCACGGTTTTTGACGCCATCTTGACGAGTTGGCAAACGCGTGTTTGTATGAGAATTCAATGTAGAATAATTTCCGTAAAACGGCTGTTCTGGAAAAAATATGAATTGCAAACTAACGCTACACAGCAAAGGATTTTACTAACAAATTTTGGGGGCCGCTACTGTGCTTAAATTTCTCCAGAAGCTTGCTTTAGATTTTCCATACATCTGTCTGCAATTTTTCCCGGGAAATTTTTAGACAAATGTATAGAAAATTTTAAAAAAAGGTTCTAGGTCTTCTAGCGCATGTAACGCCCTTAAATTTTTTCAGTAGAATCCTTAAGAGTGAAGCTTTAGTTTACAATTCATAATTTATTCAATACGGCGGTTTTACGGAAATTATTCGACATTAGATTCTCATACAAACACTGCAATTTCTCACGCGTTTGCCCGCTCGTTAAGATGGCGTCGAAAACTGTGACAAGGTCTATTAGCGCTTAACCCAAGGTTAAATTTAACCCGGGTTTCTTTTTCTTTTGTTCAAAAGCATTTTCTCCGATAATTTTCTGTTATTTTTAAGAGCACACAATCATCAACTTGTTGCCAAAAAGAATTAAAATGAATTTACTTTTTAAGCTTTCATATCTGAATTCAAATTCGCACTAACCGGGTCATCTTAACCCGGCTTCATTTGAACAACCCGGCCCTGACAATTATTACACCAATTGCATTTCACGTTAGGTAAAGAAAAATTAATGTATTTTTGTCTTTCATTAGGGGACTGCGATAACTTTGATAGTGAATGTGGTAAAAGCCTATCGAAAGACATGTGTTCCTCGCTACAACACCGTGAATTAATGGCAAAGAAATGCCCAAAAATGTGCGACTTATGTGGTAAGACTTAAGCCAGCTTTAACAGCTTGTCCGCACCATAATTAATTAGCAATTTATAACAACTTCCGAGTTCTGCATAATTGTTCAGATCACAGGAAAGCCGATTCCAATAATCGTTTCATTTATTCAAATAATTCATACTTTAAAAACTTGCTGACCTCTATCGATGTTTAAATTCCCGTCTTTATTTGACAACTCGAGATATGAAGGGAATTATTTGGTTTAGCAGATACTCTTCGAATAGCAGCAGTTATAATCGGTCGAGTTGTATTTGTATAGATATATAATAGCAGTGATATTTGGCATAAATATACCACGAGTGATAAATTGTTACACGTAATTTCACGAGCCGTCAGGCGAGTGAATTTTGAGACAATTTTGCATTATCAAGAGTGGTATTTATGCAAAATATCACGTACAAATCCTGTTATTATTTGTTAAAACAACTACCCCCAAAGGGTTTGTAATTTTCACATGTAGGTATTTCAAATTAAACTGAAATACGACTGCTCTAAGCCAATTAAATTGCAGAAATTTCTCATGTAGTAGTATAATTGCTGTTATTGTCATTTTAAGGGAGTAAATTGGCCTTTTTTTCACAATAAGTGTGAAACTTTCCGCCATTTCCGTCTTTACCAAAGAAGGTGAGCTAACGCACCCAATTAACGCACTATTAACTTGCGATCACTTTTTTCTGTCGATATCCTGTTTTATTAACGCAATTTTACTACATTCTCATCGCAGTGAACTTCTTCTTCCCAGTCAACTGGCCACATTAGCTGGCTATAAAGAATTAGTCGGGGAATTTGAGCCAACCATCAACAGAAAATATTTTGAATGAAAAATAATGATGTCTGTTCATGAACTCAGTTGATTTGGATACAAAAAAAGTTACATGCTATTAAACTAATATGGTCTAAAAGAATTCCATTGGTCGTGTGGCTTGTTTCTAGGACTGGTAATTAGACACATTGAAAAAATATACTGAACATTTATTTTATGGGGCATTGTAATATTTTAGGGAATAGTTAAACCAATCACCCAAGACCAGAATGACCAATCACAAAACAAGAATGAATATAAGTTTTTCCGTCCCTTTGGACTGATGATCTTAAATATTTTATTCGTAGGTAGTAAAAACGGTAGTAAAATTAGAAATCAGTCATTGTGACTTACATCCTTACATATAGTATAGGGTTAAAATTGGATGAAGATAAAAGGCTATGGCGTCATCAGCATTAACGTATTCCTACCAAAAAAGGAGTTGTAATTGGTGCGCCTTATACTACTTTCCTTTTCTTTAGAATGTCCTTTGAAGTGCCAAAATGGAGGAACAGTGAATCGTCAGAGTTGTATTTGCGTCTGCCCCTCTGGTTGGAAGGGTATGGACTGTTCAGGTAAACAATATAAAGAAGGCTGACGGATTCAGCTCTTTCATAAAATTGTATAATAACTTAATTCAACAAAATACATAGAGTCCATGGAAAACACTTTAGACATCAAAAAATAACGACGCATTAAGGTGCTTAAGATTTGGGTGCTTTATAATTCAAACTTTTTTTTTTGCAAAATTCGGTGCGAAAACTTGCATGAATTTTCGGTTTAAGATTTATGACTTGACCGTGTACCAATCTTGACGTCATATCTTGGGATCAGCCAAAGTATGTCTAGGGAATTACCGACCTTACAGGTACAGATTGACACCTTCAATGAGAAGAGGCTCTGACAAAACCGAAAATATATAGCGCAGTAAGGTTCTCCGATGGACTTTTTTGATCATGGCTTTCTATTCCTTTTTAGATAAAGAATGTCCTCCTGGTTTCTATGGCGAAAACTGTCAATGTAAGTAAATCAGAATTGTGTCATAATTTTTGTGTGCAATGGCAAGTTTAACAAGTGAGCAAAGTCACAGGTTACCGTCAAAAAATAATAGTCGTCGATTGAGTAAGAATAGGCGTCACGTTGCGTTTGCCCTGGTATCAAACATGTTAATATCATATTTTAATGCAGCCTCATTAGTTTCTTTAAACTTTAAATCTATGAGCATGCAAAATTGAAATTCCATGGCCTATTTGTGAACTTAGACTAAAGCCAAATTTCAGTCTCTTGCTTATCTCGCAGTTGTTTTAGAAGCATATTGTCGACTCTTGTTAAATTAAAAATTTTAAATTTCTTTCTGTCACTGACGCATGCGCATGAAATTATTTATTTATTCATTTACATATTTACTTCTCATATTCAACATTTAACAATGTCCCCCCACAAGCAGAAAAAAAAGTATTGCGTAAGAAATATTTTCATTTTCTCTTGGGACACCTGTAAAACCCATGAGACACTGGAAACAAACAGGTTTATGCCAATTTCCTTTTTTGGGGGGGAGGGGGTAAACAATTTGTACTATGGGCGATTTGAAACTGGTGAATGCTAGTAGTGTTCCCGTTGATTAACAAGATCTTTTATCGTTATTTTATCTTATTTTATTTTACGATATATGCAATGTCAAACATTTTATTTAAGCCGCCTTTTTGTTTTAAATCTAGTTGGACTTAGTTGTTGTTTATTACCTAGAATTAACATCATTTTTTTCGAGCGTTCTTTTAAGTCCGTTGTTACGACGCCGCTGGGAAAGATACGTGCGAATGGCGCGTGAGGAACGGGCACAGTTGTAAGGCATATTACATGAAGATCGACTGCGCAGCGACTTGCGGCTACTGCGGTAAGTGAAACTTAGCAACTTTGACGTTTGAGGTATTCTTGATTTGATAGTTTTTAATTTTTTTATTCTATTAAGTCTGCTAAAAGCCGCGTATCGTGTTTTGTTTTTTTGCTTTGTACGTGTATATTTTTTCGGTACTATTAAGCTGAGCGGATGTTCTGTTGAATTTTTCAACCTTGGTTCTTCTTCCTACAGTTATTGAGAGTAAAACAACTACAACAACACCAGCTCCTATCACAACAACAGTTCCGACGATCACAAGTACGTTTTTTTAACGTTTCTTCTTTAGTTTTAAGGACTTGACGTGTAGTGATCCAGTCAATGTAATGTCATAGTTTAAAAACGTGTTCAATTTTACTTTTTGGTGAGAAAATAATCAATGAAATCTCTGCAGTTTTTGACAAATTAATCGAAAAGAAATTTACAGGGACGTTTTTATGGTCTTCAAAAAGGCAAGTAGTATAGTAGAAATGAACCATTCCCTTTTTAAAATATTTGAATTTGAATACATCAACGTTATAATTATATCATTAGGCATCTCATTTTCAAAGTTTCTCTCCTCTTTTTCTTACTCAGGTATCGCAAATTATTTTGAATTACGTGCACTAGGAAAGAAAATCATCACAACCCAATTAGGGATGAATCACACATTCGAAGTTTGATCTTCGATCCAAAAATCAACTGACGCCTATTTTAACGACTCAAAATTGCAAAATTGTTTTGACATTGTTTCGAATTGTTTCTACATTGTGCCAAAAATGTTGTCCTGAAACCCTTCTTCGCAAATAGTCCCTTGTAAGATCGCCTTTAAACCGTTATATCGGTGTAAATAGAGGGTGACTAGATCGTAATGAGATGCGTATCCATTAATTCAATAACACCAATTTAGTCACCTCAGTGGTTTATTAAATCCACAAAAAAGAGGAACGAGCCTCTTCTTTCCTTCTTAGGAGAACCGACTGAAAATAACTAGAGAGGCGAAAAGGGAAGAGACTTAATTAAGGTTTTCTTCCCTATAAATGCCTCTTCTTAGTTCTCTTGGGATTATATGATATAACCTAGGAGCTTAGTTTAGAAAGTCTTTTCTCTACAGAGCTAGGCCGATACACACGAGGGGTTTTGCTCCCGGAGCATGCTCCAGGGGCCCGCTCCGGGAGCAAAGCTCCTCCGTGTGTGCCAACGATTTCATGGGTATACTTCATCCTCGGGAGCAGAATTTCCACCCCAAAAAATGCTCCACGATATTTAACCGGTTAAATACAGGGACCGCGGAGGGGGAGGGGATGGTAGGGCCGCGGCCCCACCACTTTTTTGCTCCCCCGCCCCCACTTTTTGCGCTAAAAAGAAAAATAATTAAAATTAAAAAGACTTGAAACAAGTTTTTTTCCGTCTATATTCCGCTATATTCTCTGTATTTTCTTTAATTTCAAACGCCAGGCATTTTGTGGGGCTCCTGTGCTTTTCGCGGTAATTGTGCCCTGGGGCCGACTAGCCCCTTGATCAAACGCCATGCCTTGGCAATCGCCTTGGCCACCCCTTCTCTTCGTTCGGCAGCGTGTTTTGTACTTCCAGCTCCGCCAGAGTTTTTTATCAGTTTTATCAGACGAAATGAAGATTATTACTAGCTTTTTCAAGCCAAACAAAGGTGAGTAGTTGTTTTGAGTTGATAAAAGTTTTATGTTTTGTCTTTCTCCTTTCGAATCAATGAAATATTCGATGGCAAGAAGAATTACATTACTTGAACAGTGAACGGCCATAGGGCTATTGCATTTAAAATCCGTACCCCCCGGTTGAGGACTTACCTTTTCATCTTACCCCTTAAGATTGGCTAAAATTGCATTCACCCCTGAAGACTTCCGTAAAACATGGGTTTACCCCTGAAGAATTGAGTCATACCCCTGAAGAATTTGGGTTTACCCCTGAAGAATTTTGTGAAAATTAAGGCTTCACCCCCAAAGAATTCCATATTTGTTTACTCTATATCTACCCCTAAAGAAATCCTCAATTTTTATAACTTACCCCTGGAGAATTCCATGGTTCCTCAACCGGGGGGGTGCGGATATTAAATGCAATAGCCCATAGTTAGAAATTTTTCGATTTTCAATATGAAAAAAATATTTTCAATTGTCAGCCCTCCCACTTTTCACCTTGCTTCGCGGTCCCTGAAATACTTGGGAGCAAGCTCCCGGGGCAAATAACGCTCCCTCGTGTGTACTGACACGTGCAAAATGATCCTGGAGCATGCTCCAGGAGCAAAACCCCTCGTGTGTATCGGCCTTATAAACTCTAGCTCCATCTCTTGCTAGAACAATTAGACCGCCCGAAATTTGTCCGAAACCTTGTGGCCGCGGATTGAAGCCTTTTAGGGAGTGAGACGTTTTTTCATTCCAGTAAACCTTTTCTCTTTATAATTTCACTTTTTTAGCGGAAAACGAAGAAAACTTTAGTCAAACACTATTTACAATAATATGTCATTTCTCGCACCAGTACCTCCCACGACCGCCGCTGTAACCACACCTGGGATTCCAAGTTTCCCTGAACCTACTGTGCCTGAGGGTAAGTACAATTGATATTTGTAAGCCATATAATACTGACTGTATAAAACACAGGCCGGATGCTTACATAAACCGCCGCCTGGTTAGCTCAGTTTGGGAGAGCGCCAGTTTACTGAGCGGGAGGTCGCGGGTTCAAAGACCGGCCGGACCAACACTCGGGGTCTTTAAATAATTCAGAAGAAAGTGCTGCCTTTGTAATGACATCCACAAATGGTTAGACTATCTAGTCTTCTCGGATAAGGACGAAAACCGTAGGTCCCGTCTCACAGCACTCACGGTTATCTGGTTCTTGTGCGACGTAAAAGAATCCACGCCACTGTGCAAAATCTTCACACATCACTCACTTCATAAGCAGGGTGGGTACAGTAAGCTCATTAATGGAGTGATACCGGCTGCCAGTGGGGACTTTGTATGCTGACGTCCGAGCCTACTGTTAAACGTGTTAAGATATATTGTAAAGAGGGCACGTATGTTGTCCTCTCATACATGACTGCTTCCTTCCCTCCTTGAGTGATAGCTAACTAAACCTATCAATTTAATTGATTTACTAGACTGTAAAAAGGACCTTCATTCCGACTGTGGGCTGTGGGCAGGGGTAGGAGAATGTGAAAAGAACCCGCCTTGGATGATTCCAAACTGTTGCGTCAGCTGTAAATATCACCAGGCTCCGAAAGGTTGGAAGTTGTTCAGAATCTTTTTACTAGTTTGTTTAAGTCATCTGTTATGTTTCCAGTAAATTAGATAGCTGGGTATCGTTGAGAAACCCATCAACAAATGTAGGCTATAGATTGTACACCTCGTGCTATGGTTGGTATCTCATTATCATTTACTCTTCTTGATGATTTGTTGCTTGATCTACAACTTCTCCTCCTGTACCTCTTTTTCAGTTTAACAGTTTTGCGGCCCGATTAATTTGCCCATTTAGGATTCATCTAAATTGCACTCTTTCCAAGTAGATAATTTAAAGGGGAAATTCTCAACGGATTTATTTACTCATGGCTCGCACACTTTCTGCTCTCACTAAAAACGGAAAAATTATTCGTGACATTTGCGATACGAGTTTGTTGTTCGCTATAAGCTCTTCCACACGTGCGTTAAACGTCTTTCCCTAGAGCCTGTCAACGAGTTAATGCTCAAGTTAACATTTTGCTTCGCCCCATGAAAGGGAATCCGGAATCTTGGGCTTTGGAATCCGGAAGACAGTTCAAGGAACTCGGAATCCCATTAACGATTGGACTGTCTTGGGTTCCTTTACATGGGGTGATATTTTACTACTTCTTTAAGCCCTTATTATACTGCTAATAAAAATATATTATCTAAATCACTATCAATTCGCAGACTGTACTGATTCACAGTCAAGCTGCCCTCGCTGGGCCTTCCATGGGGAATGTGAAAAAAATAAAGCGTGGATGTTAGCGAACTGCAGAAAAAGTTGTAACCAGTGTGGAGGTAAGGTAACTGATTTAGTTTTCTGTAGCCTAAAAAGTTGACTAGGGGCCGCCATACTTTAGCACTTATAATTTAGTTCGTATAACTCTCTGGAACGTAAAATGCGGATTCCAAAAATTTGCCTTACAACGTAATATTTTGAAAAATCACTATCAGTTAAAAGTCCTTTATGCAACCGGGTCCAAGAATCCATCGTCCCTAGGATCCATCTTTCACATGAGGCTCGCGATAGAGTGTACCGAATATTATTTTTTAAGGCTATCTATAGTTCCGTTATAGACACACGAAAACAATCAGTTAACCAACCAAAGCGTAGTAGGGTTTTCAGGAAGTAACGGGTGAGACCAGAGACACGTCGAGCACTGGCGTGAATTCAACCGTTGAAAACGTTTTGAAGCTAGGGTCTGAAGCTTATCATCAAGTTATATGTACTTATCTTTTAAAGAATCAGCTGCGTTTAAGTCGCTTGTGCGAAGGTTAGTAAACACTGAGCGATTAATTCTAATAGAAAAGAAAGAAAAATGGGATGTGACAGTTATTAGAATCCAATGAAATATATATCAAGTTGATGGTATCCCTTACCTGCTACCTAGAACCTAAATTGTTCAGAGAGATAACATGAAAACCAACTGGCTCGTTTAGCTTCCTAGCTTGCACATTAATTTCATTAAATTTGATTAACCTTCGATAGGTATGTTCCTCTACTAGATTGTAATATCGATCAAAGGTCGAAGATGAAGAGCAGTAATTGTGTTACAGTATAATTATGTTAAGAGCTCCGATCCCTGAGCGGACTGTTCACAGTCTTTTCTTTTTTGCAACCACTTCAACGTTATGCAAATAAGAAAAAATCTGAGTAGCTTCATAACCATTACAAGAAATAGACTATGGTTGTGTTACTGATGTTATTGTTGTTGTTGTTGTTGTTGTTTTTCACAGATTGCAAAGATACAAACGTCGTCAACTGTCCTTCATGGGCTTTACAAAATCAATGCATCTCAGGCAACAGAGTGACCTGGATGCACATAAACTGTAGGAGAAGCTGTGGAATGTGTAAAGGTAAAACGTAAAGAAAATAAGGAAAAGGAATACCAAATAAGAATGGTGAGAAAGCCAAGTACATCGGAGCAATGCCTAAAGATACGTCACTCGCTTCAGGCCCAAAACGTCACAGCCTAAAATATTAAGCAAACATATTCAAAACTCTGAAGAAAAACGACTTTTGTCCAAAATCGAAAACAATCTGCGGCATCTCTTATTAAAAATTTTCTATTTTTATTCCATTTTCTAACAAATTTGGAGTGAATTTGTGCACTTTAAATCAAACTGTTAAAGACTTGAAGTTAATATTATTTTATGTCGCTCAAAGGATTGGTTTACATGTGTATGAATGCATGTGCAGCTATAGTATTACTGAATCAGTTATGCGTCCACTGCATCTCTTCCTTCACGTACGCAATTTTGTTATAGTGTATGATAAACACAAGGATTGCCCAGCCTTGGCTGCGAGGGATGAGTGCATGAAATCCAACTGGACCTGGATAGTAGATCTTTGTCCTCGAAGCTGTGAACTAAAGTGTAAGTAACTCAAGAATCTGGAGAACCGAAAAATGTCTCGGCTTTGAACGTCGGTGGGGTGTATGTTAAGCCGGTTGAGTGTCCTAGCATATCCAGAGACACAATATGATAGTCTTAAAACTCGAAACAAATCAGTCTTTGTGACAAAATTATGATTGGAATGATGTTAAGAGAGCCAATTGTTAAAGGCGCTCTTTAGCAATATTGTTGGCTAAAGAAATCTGTTATTGCACATTTTTACAAGAAAATCGCCAATGGACATAATTCTGTGGTTTCCTGGAAGCTGTGACGCAAGAATATGTTTCATTAGATTTTGGGGGCAAGCCAAAGCTTTGGAGGCTGTTAATGACATAAATTAAATTCATGAAAGTTTAAAAGCAAAAGTGAGATAAAGAACCGTTACTTTCGTTTTTAAGTTTCAGAAGCTTCCTTTTGTGGCAACAAAACAAACGGTAACTACCAAGACCCAACGACCTGTGAAGCATATATAGCGTGTTCAAATGGCGTTACAAGTCATGTTCATTGTCCCAAAGGGAAGAAGTTCGATACAGTCAAACGGACCTGTGAACTGGCAGATACAGTCAGTAACTGTAAAACTATGGTAAAGTGTACCTAATGTTTTAGAGAAAACCCTCGGCCACATTCCTATTTCGTACTCATGAGTTATATAACCCGTCTATGGTTCACTAGGAAAAAGATGAAGGTATTTTTTATTGTTAAAATCAATAAAATGTTTAAGAGTAGTAAAAAGGACATTCTTTAATGTCTACTATATTGAGCTCCATTCTATGACTTGTTTTATGATGGTAAAGAAGCATTGCCACTCATCAGTAAGCCACGTGTTCACGTGCATTCCGGCCAAAGTTAAGGCCTTACAGGGTGGACACGTGAAAGTAGCGCCACGGACTGTTAATTAACTCCCACGAGGACATTTCTTAAGATATAACTGTATGCAACCACGCTGCATTTAGAGTCAAACTAAAAACCATCAAGATAGAAGAGAATATTAGTTACCAGGCTTTTTGACTAGGAGTCTACAGTGTTCAAGAGTGTACAGAAAGCAGTTTAAAGTGTACGGAATAAACCTAGCCTGTGAGCTCAAAAAATAGTGTGTGACTACACTATATATAAGGATATATCATATATCCAAATCACTACGCTTCCCCGCTCCTGACGTTTTGACATACCTAAAGCACTTTTTTAATACTTAATTTACTGCAAATTTTCATTACAAGCTTTAATGCTTTGCTGCCTGCCTATGTTTTGTAAGCTTGACGATTGTCGTCTTGCATATAGCTAAGTTTTTTATTTTAATCTTGTCGATTCTGCTCTTACACCACAGTTGAGCTTAAATCAGTTGACAGAGGGTAACTCCTACAGCGTGCATGCCTACTCTACGGGATTATCCCGGAGTCTCCAGGATATGGCACCGATCTCCCGCTCTCCCGTACGGGTCACCATATTAGCTTCCGGGTAAAATCATTTTCTGAGCTTTTCTGTGCCTTTTTTAGCTCAACTTGAATTGAATTGAAACTAGAATTTTTCTTATTCATAGTACAGTTTCCGAGGCATTTTTGCACGTATTTAGTCACTGACAAAGATTATTTCTGGCATCAAAACTATGATTGCGAATTTTGATAGTATGTATTCATGTAAGACTTTATATAATGTCCTAAGTCATTCCCATTGGGGGCTGGGTCAATTAGTCGGGGGGTGGAGTCCGTTGAAATACCGGGGGAGGGGTAGTGAAAAAAAGAGAGTCTCCAGACTTTAGATCTCCAGAGGTTGGCATCTCTGCTACAGTGACCTCACAGTGCTCAGACTAAATTTTATAATAGGTTACCAAGAAATTCAAGCACTACTGAATCAATTACGAATGAGTGGGCTGTTGGTTAAAACAACCACTAATTATTTCAAAAGCTCACTTTGTGAAATTTGCTCAACTAAAATAGCTCGATCATTATGCGAACTGTGTGTAAAGGGCATCATTATCTTTGCAAGGATATTCTCTTGGTTAAAACTGGTATGCAGCTAGTCAAACCTCTTTAAACAGTCACCTCCTCAGAAAACCATTTATTTTATCCAAGCAAATCATTCCCTCTGCGTTTAACCCCCTTACAACAGCCTTCGTGCAGAATGACCTTCACAGGACAAAAAAACAAGAGTACGTAAACCTAAATATGGCGGAAACAAGCGACTCCGTTGCGGAAACACAGCGACAAACGTGTGTTTCCGTTAGCGGATACATTACGGTTTTTCATGTTTCCGTCGCTGTGTTTACAACGGAAACGGACCACTTTTTTACATGTTTCCGTGTGCACAAGAGAGAAAAAATAATTTAAACTGCCCTTTGTTGCACATTACTAATCTATGTACAGGTTCTAGCTTGTAAAGAACTGCAAGAGTAATACGAGGTTTAACTCCGTTGCCGGTTTCACCCTGACTGTCCACAGATCGATATGAAGACCAAATTACTCAGTATTACTAGCTAAGCACGATGAAGTGGAACAAGCTTAGATTTTGAAGGCAACAGAAAAACCAGTCTTACCTCATTACTGTATTTTCCATCAAATATCTTGGATAGAATCAGACAATCCAACTTTCAAATTATGCCCTCACATCACGAGGTTTTTGTCTCACATTAGTTCTGCCCATCGATCTGAGTCTCCAAGGGCTGGTTACCGTTTACGCAGTTAACGAGTGAAGCAATCGATCACTGAAGCCTATTAAACAATCCGTAAAAACTCGTAGGATTCATTTGGTGCTATCGAGAAGCAATAAAAACAGACTCCAAGCTCCCAAAACCAAGAGTAGACGTTACATCACACTTTCAAAATGGACGCCAAAAAGAACGAACCCAATAAGCATGCGCGAAAGGAAAACCGCTGATCAAAGTCCGCTCTTTTCTCAATCTCGTTCCCAGAGGCCGCGATCCTTTTGGTCATCGACAGGGTTGCCCGTTCAGGTTGACAAAGCAACGCGGACTCTGGGAACGAGATTGCTCTTTTCTAGTTCCCATTCTCTCCGGTTTGCTAAGTCTTTTGACTCAGCAGGCACACACGAAGGATTTGCACTGATTGAGGTCAATCAAATATCGATAGATGTTCGTATTCTCTCTCTGAGATTTTTATCACTTTAAATCGGAAACAAGGACAACCTTTATATGTAGTGAGGCTAACACTAGTAATAGTTGACACTACAGCTGCCCCCGCTCTGTAAATTGTCGGTCAATAGTATTCTCGAAATATACCGATTCATAATGACGATTTTCACACATATTCCATACAATAGGTGAGATCAATCCACGAAACGCAAGGTTCCATGCACAGTTTCAATTCGATTTACACAGCTTTGATCAAAACATTCTCAGTTTCGAGAATAGTTTATTCTAAACCATAAGAAAATATTTAATTAGAAGTTGAATTTTTCGCTATTTCTCTTTCACTCTTTACATTAAAGTAAGCCTTAGCAATTAAAAGGACGTTTGATTAATGGCGCTCACGCATTCTAGAGTCATTTTAAATTTTATAGCGGAAGGAAATATGTGAGCAGGGAATAAGTCAGCACAGAATTTGATTGTCGGCGAATTTCTGTAATCGTCCATTGTTCTGCTAGTAATAAGCTAGCCGTTGTTTACTCGTCTTGCTTGTTTGGGGCTGAGTCTTATTCCGGTCAAATAGAGAGAAAGAGTGTCTGGCAAGGTTTCCAATCAAAGATTTGTGAACTCGTGTCTGGCAAACTCTACATATACACAGTTACACGCACCTTATAACTTCATCTGCGCTTAACGAGCGTTTTTTGGTCCATAACTTTCAAAACAACTGCTCCACAGAATGTCACTGATAACACGTAACGCAAAAGAGTATCGAAGTATGACTGGGCAATTAATGTCACAAAATCTACCTAAGCGGTCCTAACCATTTCGTGCTTGCGGGCGCAAACAATAGAAAAGTCATCATTACCTACCGATTCCTCGCAGCCCCTGCTCAAGCAAATCGAGATTTTTTCTGGCATCCTGACTGTATATTTCAACTGTAAGTACTATCCTTAATATACACGCGAGTTATTAGAGTGCCTCCTCGGGATTTCGCCTTCTGGGCGAAATCCCTGCGGGGGCAATTATACGGAAACATGTCATTTCGTCCTGTGTTCAAGGGGAGGTTCGTTTGTATTATGGAAGGGAAAACGTCCCTTGCTGCAAAGCCTTCTTCATTGAAATTTCCCGCTCTGTTATCAATGCATGAAAGCTGGAACTTTTCAAACATATCATGACTGAGACAATTTGGCGCTTGTCCTCCTTTTATTAACAAATAAAAATTACTTTGCTTGACAGCTCAACTAAATAAAACGTGGTTGAATGATCAGCTTAAATAACGATAGGATCCAAACCTGATTAAACCAAACAGCTGGCGTGGATAAAAATTGCCCGTCGTCGTTGTCGCCGATTTGTAAGCTTACTTGGGCATATTTAATAAAGTAGAATGGTCATGAAGCCTGTCAAACTCCCTTTTTATATCTGATTGTTTTGTGGACATGAAAGTGCACAACGTTCAATATCCTTTCATTTTGATCTTATCAGTGACCGATAAAAATTGAACGTCGCATTAAAATGATTCCATCACAATTTGTTAGCAAAAAAGAAAGGGCTGCGCACCGTCAGAGATTTCAACGTAAACTGCGGCACCTTGTTTATATCTTTGATGTTTGCCGTCTTTCATAACCAGTCTTCTCTAGACTAACTATAGACCTGAGTAGTGACACTAAGGCAAACTGTAACTTATGCCTCTGAAATCGTACCTAACCTTGGTTGTAGAGTTACCGAATGACTTGAAATAGACATTTATAGAAAAAAAAAAGAAATTTTACGAATTTCCTTTTTTGAGGCAAAATATCTTCATTCAATGACTAACGCCCTTGCTAAGTACGTGAAGGGCTGAAATTTTTTTAAAATTGTACCTGAAAGTCAACCCGCAACGTGGATCTTTTTCACCTCATCGGTCTGTCAGGCAAGCAATGTTCTGTGGCAGCTCACAGATCATCTTAACTGCATTAAAGAGTGTTCCAGCTGGACAAAAAACGTGACGGGTAAGTCGTCCTGAACATAATACATAACCTGTACAAATCCCAGGTATCGGATAGTTTCCATCTTTCTTGTCCCAGCAGTACTGAACTTCAGTAACTGTATGCAAATATATTAGATCAGTTAATTAATTGATTAATTACGGTATCAAGCATCGCGTCAAGCAATCACAGACAAATCCAAGAGTGAAGTTCAATTTAAGAAAAGGTCGTTAAAACTCAGATTTACAACGAACATGCGTAGTTCAAATGCACGATTTCAATTAGATAAGATTATAATAGGCCATTTGTACGATGACTTCACTACTTCGACCTGAATCCTTCAGGGTTTTGCTCTCTTCTGTAAATTACGACTTTTTTATTTAAACCTCGCTGGGATTGACAAATCTAAATATGAAAGGAAAAACGAAAAGGATTCTGGTGTTAGTAATAAATGATGCCATCGTACAAAAATTTTGAGTTTTATCTCTCGTCTGAGAACACGAGCAGGCTACGAAAATACCACCTAGTTACAAAAGAAGAATGAATCTACTAGTA